CGCTGGCCCGGGCCCCGCCGCGGAGCCGCCCGCGGGCAGGGGCGGAGGGACAGGGCGGTGGGCCCCGCCGGTCCCCTCCCCCGGTGGGGCCGGGGTCCCGGGTTAGGCCGCTGGGGTCAGGGCCGGGAAATGTGGTTCCGTTTTGAGGTGGGGATGGGTTCTCAAGGGACCAGAGGGTGGTTTGGGTTGGAAGGGACTTTAAAGATCATGTAAATGGCCCAGGTTGCCCCAAGAAGCTGTGGCTGCCCCATCCCTGGAGGGGTTCAAGGCCAGGTTGGAGGGGGCTTGGAGCAACCTGGGCTGGTGGGAGGTGACACTGGGTGGCACTGGATGATCTTTAAGGTCCCTTCCAACCCAAACCATTCTATGATCTAGTTCCAACACGCCTGCCACGGGCAGGGACACCTCCTGTTAGACCAGGTTGCTCTGGGCCACCCCGCTTCTGTGACACTGGCCACGGCCTCCTACGCGATTTAACAAGATCTGATAGTAAGTGTGACAGTGTTTTGTGAGATTCCATGGCAACATCCACTTGGTTATTTACTACATAAATAAGACAGAACTGTCAGGGAGACGCTCCCGTTGAGTCAGGAGGTTGAGAAAGGACCCCCTGGCTTTCTAAACTCCTTCTCAGAGAGGAGTCTGGGTGCAGCTGGATCCAACCCTAGTCCCAGACTTAGTCAACGGTTTATGTCTAAGGGACTAGATATGCACAATCAATCCTTTATATCACTTAGCTGAGATGTCAAAGTTTAGCATGCGATTTACCGCTTACCGAGGATCTGCTGCGGCAAAGAAGCTCTTGACCTCAAGGAGTAACCTTGAGTGGGCATCCCTGCTCAAGGGGAGATGATGTTGTGCAGCTGCTGACATGCAGGAGAGTTCAACAGGCACTGGGCTGGCCACTATTCATAGATAAGACGATTGTATTTATAGAGTAAGATGACCTGTAGCCATATTTTCATAGCAGAAAGACATCTAGGTCCCCATTCCAGACAGCATTTGGCTTTGTTGCCGTCGTCCCCTCCAAAGTCCAGGGACAACCCATCACTACTTGAGCAGGAGCCAGGGAGGGGGAAACGGGGGAGAGGACACCACCGCAGATGCCCAGTGCCGTTCCATACCGGCAGTGTCAAAAGGATTGGCATCAATCCTGTTACTACTTAATCTAGTTTTTAATTTTCTATCCACAGTGGATTTGCCGCTGCCATCAGCCATGCGGTAAATCTGGGGTAACTCCTCTGCAGCCAGTGGAATCACCCAAGGAAGACAGACATCTGGGCTTGTGGGGCCAGCTGAATACATCCCGTTTGCTGCAGGACACGGCAGTGTAATGTGGCATGGATAAATGAGGCTAATTACCGTGGGCTTCGTTCTCACCCTCCACCCATCGAGCACCACAGACAGAAGAACAGCATAAACCGCATCATTCACTGCAAGTTTTATATGAATTTAAGACTGGGAGAAGGGCCTGAAGTGTAAATACCCACATTTTAATAAAATTCACCCTGTGTAATGTGGACCTAAACTAAAAAGCAAGACTCAGATGAACAGCGGGGCCAGGGGCATCTGAATCCATGACAAAATGTCACGTTGAGGCCTTACTTCAGCCATGGACAGAAGGGTGATGAAATGAGATGAAATAAGATGTTCGGTGCCATTTCCGTACACAGCCTGCAGCCCGGATTCACCTCTAGGCCAGGCTCCCGTTTCCATCTCAGTTCTCAGACCTGCTTGAATTGTCAGCCACAGTCAAGAGGATCTTTGCGGGAGCAGGAGTCGGATTTATTTAACACAATTATCAGGTGCTGGGGGGTCATGAGGAGCGCAGGAAGGGAATTAGCCCCGCTCACCACCACGGTCCAGGAGAAGGGGCAAGGTGACCTCTTGTGGCCTCTGTTTTATGTGGTTTCAGCAAGGTCGTATCGATACTATTTTTATTTTCTTTGGTTCTTCCAGCACAGATGAAAGCGCGTGGATGTTTCTGCCCTGCCTGTGTATGCACAAGCTCAGGGATTAGCAATTACCATCCTCTTTAAAGCTGAGATTCATCAGTTTCATTGTAAGAGTCTGGATGCCATTGTGCATTGAAATGAGTTGAAAGCTGGTTGGATTTTTCCATTCGAAACAGATCTCAGATTTGTATGAGGGGGCCAGGGACTTTTCTGTTGCACTCCCTGTTTTCCTAATGAGTCGGGTGGTTGTTTATGCTGGTTTTAGGCTATTATTGTACAGATAGATATCGCAGTTGAGTATTTTAGAAGGATGATTAAAGATTTTAACATACAGAACACAGGAAAAACATCTGCAGCCTTTATTATTGCTCTCTTAGCTTGATTTTGTCGCTGTAGCTGTTATTTACCCTTGGCAAGTGACAGCCTGCACACATCTTTTCATACGCAGGATGAATCCGGGCTCGCCCCAAACGCCTGTGCTGGGTTTTTTGTGGGGATTTTGCCACGGTTGTTGGCAGAGCAGTTTCATGAGGGGGAGGTTCACTGCAGGTTGGGAACATTGCAGCCTTCCGGAGGCAACAACCCCAAGGTCATGAGTAACCCTGAGGCAGGAATGGAGAGTGAAGGGCCAGCCCAAGTGCTGTGCCCTGGGCCTCACCCTCTGAACTTGTGGCCCCATAGAATATTTTGGGTGGGAAGGGACCTTCAAAGGTCAGCTAGTCGAACCTCCTTCCATGAGCAGTGACATCTTCATATCAGGTTCAATCTTCATCTTCAACATCAGGTTGGCCATCCAGCCTGGCCTGGATTGTTTCCAGGGATGGGGCATCCACCGCCTCCATGGACAACCTGGGCCAGTGTCTCACCACCCTCAGTGTGAAACACTTCTTCCTTAGATCTAGCCTAAATCTTCCCTCTTTTAGTTCAAAGTCATTGCCTCTTGTCCTATTGCAACAGGATGGTCTGACCCCATCTTTATTCTAAGCCCCCTGGAAGTCCTGTATGTTTTTTCTGTGGGAGTTAACGTTCCTGCTCTGGTGCTTTAACTTTTAATTTTTGGAGATGTTGTCTCTGAGTCAGGGGGAACTGAAGCCCCCTGAATTGTGCCAGGAATAGCCCAAGGGATCAACTCCCATTAGAAACTGAGGGAAAAAAATCACCCAAACGAGAAGTCCAGCCCGGGTGGGAAATGCTGAGGCAAAGCCACTTGCCAGAAGACGCCTGCCCGCAGTAAAACTCAAAGAGATGAAGGGCAGGCGAGATAAAGGCCAAGATTCGAGTGGAGCCTGTTCCCTCACCACCACAGGCCGGGCCACCTCCGGTCCGTCACTCCAGGGAAAATGAAAACCACAGGGACAAGAGGTGTGGAGCCCCGGGGGCAAACCGGCGGCTTGTACCGGGGCAGGGCCGCCGTCTCCCGGCTGAACGGCTGCCCTTCGCCTCCCCCGCGGCCCCCTAGGGCTGCTCTGGGCCCTGAGGCGAGGGGAGCCAGGCCGCGGATCCGCGGCCGCGCCGTGTCGCCTCAGCGGGCCCGGGCCCACTCAGCGCGGCGGCGGCGGCGGCGGAAGCGGGAGGCGGTGGGCGGGCCGCCGGCGGGAAGGGGCGGGAAGGCCGCCCGCCTGCTCCCCGGGCCCCCCTTCCCCTCCGCCGTAGGGCCCTAGGCAGCAAAAATGGTTTCTCCCCCAACCCGCTACCTAGTGTTCTTTCAGTACTTTGGCACTAAATATAGGTAGGTGCCTCAGCTGCCTCAGGCAGGCGCGGTGGAAGTGAACCAGCGCCTGCTGCGGCCCTGAGGGGGGCGGGCAGCCATGGGGGAGCCACCAGGACAAGTTTGGGGAAAGGATGGGTGGTTTTGGTGAGGGGTAAATGCCTTGCAGAGGAGGTGAGAGCGGGCAGGGAGCTGGGCTCTGCTGCTGCGTGGGTTAGGAAGGGGATGGTTTGGGCAGGAAATGCATAAAAAGGGCCACGAGAAAAAAAGCAAACCATCAAAGGAGAGAGAAGGTGGCAAAGTTGTGGTCTCAGGCTGTGAGTGTGTGGGAAGCGAGCGCCTGGGTTTCCTGCAGCGGTGGGTGGTTTGCTGGGCAGCTGGTGCTTGGTGGTTGGGAAACCTGTGGTGCCCAAGAGATGGAGGTGGAAAGGTCTGTGGGCCAAGTCCTCCTGGAGGGCAGCTGAGGTTGGGTTTCCCCAGGCCTTAAACATTCCACATATGTAGCTGTGTTTGTTTACATTTAAAAAAACACCTGTGGGAGAACTTGTGCAGCCCCAGCTCATGGAGCTGAGCTTATCTTCGTGAGGTTTTTACAGAATAATACCATCATATGCCAAAACCCACACTTATTTTGCAGTGCATGGGCTGTGTCACTGTGGGTTCTGACCTAAATTACTCTGAGTAGTCGCAGGTAGATTGGGTTTAGCCTCAGGACATATCTCTCTGCACTTCAGCAGCTTTTGTGAATGGCTGTGACTTCCGTAGTAGAGAAGGAAGCTCTTCACAAACTGTCTTCGTGGTCTTCTAGCCCCTTGATGACCTCCATGGTGCCTGCAGGAAATTGACCTGAAACTGACGAGCAACTCCTAGCCCTGAAATAATTTTATCTACAAATTCTTTTCTAGTGTAATTTGTCTGCATTACCTTCCCAACATGTCACCCTCCATCTGAGGGGCTAGTCCAGAGAGTAACATTTGAAGGATGATTTTTATTTCCAGCCTCCTTTCTTGCAAATAAACACAGCATCTGTTTTCCTCTCCATTCATCAAAGTGTTTGATCCCTGCAAGTTCTAGAAAAACATCCAGGTCACTCAGTAACAAACGTTTTGATGACTATCCCCTATTAACTTCTAGATGTGTTGGTGGACTCTGTGTCAAGTTCTTGGGTCAGTAACTATTGTATTTGTTTTGCTCTGCAGTGGGGTTATGGAGACTTCGAATGCTCAGGCAACAGTTGGAGTCCAGAATTATTTGCAGGTAGGTGCTTGCAAATCATATTGTCTTTAAAATGAAACACATTGGGTCACATGGTTGAGCTACAGATATTATCAAGGATAAATATTATTTTTAGATTGGCACTGAATAAGACACTTGCATATTGTTAAACACTATAATATTCAACACAAAGTGCTTTACAAATGATGGCAGTGTACAGGTGGGAGAAACAGACCAGGGTGAAGTGAGAGACATTAAAATCCCAATCCTGAAAAAGATTTGAACCACTCAGTGAACTTGAAATTGTGGTATCTGAGTCCAGAACTATGATTCTGAGAGTCCCTGCTCAGCTGCTGGCCCACCTGGATGTACTTAAGCATGTGAGCTTCATCAGCTCTTATGGCTTTGCCTCCACTTTTTATTAGAACTGCCTCAGTTCAGAGCAGGTTTAGTTTATCTGCTCTAGTACATGTCTAAGTCCTTTATGGATTTAGAAACTAGATGCTGTATCCTCTCAGGAGAGGATGTTTCTGATAGACTTTTTCAGACACGGAACAAAGCACAGCAGGATATCCATTGTTCTGAAGGGAAAAAAAATGCTTAGTTTCCATTCTTCTGGAGTTCTTCTAATATGGTGGTGAAAAAAGGTATGATCCTGTCATCACTGTTGTTCTGATGCTGCTTCTTGGGATTTCTCAGAGTGTAAGAATGGCTTTCAGGACCAAAGTGCTGTTTGGGCTTGGAGTAAGTGTGTAATAGGAGTGCAAAAGACCCACTGTTATACTAACGAGTAGAAAGTAGGTTAGTTGCATTGGGGAAATGCTCAGCACACCTGGATGTTTCTGTAACATGGCAATTTAATTCCAAGCTGCTGTTGAGCTGCAATATTTGAGCAGTGCTGGTGAACCCCATGTTCCTGTGCAGGGCAGGAATCAAAAGGAAGCTGTGTTATTTTTCTCTCATCTTAGAAGCATCACGTAGTTTGCAGTGGAGCTTGTGCCTATTTAGAAGGCAAGAGATTGTTGAAGAGTTTGATACTGATTGCTTTAGGTCAGATCATGTCTTTTTGTTACTCAGTTTGGTTCGGTCAGACTGTCTAACCCCAGATCAGAAGCTGTAGGGGTTTGAAGGTGGTGTGCCCACCAGGCTTGTTTATGATAGTCTGTGCTCTGCATTAGCTACAGTCCCGGTGTTGTGCAGGAGCAGAGCTGTTGAAAAGCTGGTCCAGGAGCAGATTTACTGTCCCACCCAGCCCCTCAGTGACTGTGGCCAAGATATTTACATGCTGTGCCCTGGTTTACTGAGTGAGGGTGAGAGTTCTTGCACTCTTAGCAAGAGTGCTCTTGCTAAGCGGTCTGCAGAAGGAAAGTGTGATGAATTATGGTCTGAGTAAGAGTTCTCAGGGTGTATTTGTATGGCTTCTTGCCTGAGACCATTGTGGAGAAAGTGTATAAATATTGTGCAAATCTTGAAAGAAGAGCCCCAAAGGACTTTCTATCTCATCTATCTAATCCTCTGAACCATCCAGTGTCTCAGCCCCGGGCGCCGGACTTTGGATGAGCCCAGCAGTTGTTTTGCATTATCTGAGTAACTTTGTTTTAATAGGCAAATGGGTAGGATGGGTGATTAAAGGAGAAAAGAATAAGAAAAAAAAAAAAGGAAAAGATAAACTTATTTGGTGTTGTCTTTTCACAGTATCAGCACTTTGCAGGCCAGTTCTGGGATATGTGCTTTGCTTTCATGTGGTGGTATTGATGCTGGGCACTGCTGAGCAGGGCTGTGTCTATTAGAACCACATGGGATGTCTTAAAGCAACTTTAATAGAAAACTTCTGGGGCCTGTAGGAATTTATCTTCCTCCATTTCTGTGCAGCCTTGAACTTCACAACTTTGCAAAGCCAGGAAGACAACTGAAGGGAAGGGCAAAATTAAATCTGTAATGAGATCCTTACTGTATTCTAAATATGTTCAGACATTTGTTTGCAGTTACAGAGGAGCAAATAACCTGCGAGGTGTAGACCTTGTGTTTCGACAACTGTGCCATTAAAAGTGTAATGGGCTGGTGTGTGAGCAGCCCTCCGTGTGATACCGGAAAATTGCTGGACTGGGGCTCAGCAGCCTATAACCCTTTGTCACCCTAAGCTTTTCTAGTCCTCAGTACTGCTATGTAACAGAGCCCCTGGAGGAAATGGAGACCTGTTTTAGTTTGGGGACAGATGTAGATACTTGAAGGAGCTTTTTAAAATATCTTTGAGGGGGGTGAGCTTTGCAGACAACACTCTCCGTCTTTCTTGGAGACGGCGTATTTGCCCTGAAGCGCTTGGAAGCCCAGCTTCCTAGTGATGGGTCCAAACCAAAATTCCAGACCTTGCTTCCCCGGATCGGGAAGTTTGAATCCTGTGACTTGGCTCCCTCCGGTTCCTTGTGGAAACTTAGAAAATGCAGCATTTCATGCTGTAGTCTCAATTCTTGAAAGTGTCCCTACTGTAAAGGAAGATCTCCTGCGTAGCACCTTTTGCTAAAGTGAGTAGCTGTTGCTTGTGCTAACGGGCACCATATGCGAGGCCTGTGAGGATCTACAGAATTAAGTTCCCTTTCATGTTTGGTTTGAACCATCTCCTGAGTGTGCTGTTTCCCATCGTGCTGGTAAACGCTGCCCAAAATTAATCTTCCCCACACGAAGCTCTGCTTTGGCCAGCAGCCTTGTGCTAAGGCCAGATATTATTCCTCATGAAAGGAAAAGGGGGAGTAGGAGAGGAGAGAAAGAGAACATACGCAAACTCCGTCCTATGTGAGGCAGCTTTGGGAAAACCTCCTGCTCCCAAATCCCCTTCAAAAGAAAAAAAGTAAGAGAGAAAGGAAAAAGGACGGAGAGAACTGTCATTTTCAACCCCTGGGTGGATCATCATTCCAGTGGCATAGGAAATTGCTTTGGAAACCCTTTCTTCTAGCAGAAGCCACTTTCACAGCTTTTTCTTCCTGGCTTTCACTTCAGCTTTTATCTATTCTGCTAAAGATGAGTTCGATTTCTAGTTGGTTTCAGTTGGCGTAGCACCCATTGAGTTGGGGAGGCTGTGATGACTTCCAACCTGAAATTTGCATGTTATTATTTATTAGAGCACAGCAACTTACAAATCGTGCAGTATCCTCCTGTCTGTGCAACTCACACCATTGTACGTGGTGATACCAGTAAGTGATGCAGGTGCTGTGAAAGAGAAACAGACCCTTATTTTTCTTTTATTCTATTTATTTTATTCTTTTATTTAGACTTCAGGGAGAGAAGTGGATGAACTTTTGCTTTCCCCCCATAGGTGGTACACGTTAATGGGCATCTTGCCTCTCCAGCATTTGTACAGAACGAGGAGAGAACAGAGCTGCGAGTAATAATAGCAATCTGGAATGTGGATCCATATCATTCTGGCACGCAACGGTGGAAACTTCAGCATGATTTAAAATATGGAAGTGCTTAGTGAATGAAACCTGTTAGCAGAACAGACCTACTAAATGCAAGCAATACTTTCCCCTGCGTGACGGGTATGCAGGGTGTTAGAAGTATAAACTGACACCCTGGGATGCTTATTGCTGCTCCAGAAATATGATCGTCTGGAACGACTATGACTGGGGAAGTAAAGACTAAATGAAAATGGACAAGATGTGGCTCAGTGATAGGCCTCCCGCAGGTGCCAAGCCAAGATTTCGGTGTTTGTAACACCTGCTAAAGAGAAGGATATTTGCATGCTCTGTGGCTTAAAGAAGGGAGCAGAGACCTGTGAACTCTGACCACAACCCAGCTCCTTTATTCCTGTATCTTCTCCATTGCTTTTTAGCTGTGTGCCCATGGGTAAAGGGCTTAACTTCTGCCTCAGTTTCCCCTGCCAGGAATCCATAGACGATAACCAACAGGGTAGGGATCTGGATTAAAGTCTTTTGAATTCCTCAGATGAAAGGCCTGCTTGTTTTAGGGGCTTCTTGTTGTTCTGAAAGGGCAGGAAAAACTGGTTGCTATCCAAGCAATTACTAAATGTAAATAATGCATCTTTTTTTTAACAGATTAAAGAATATAGGAACCAGAGGAGGAAACTATCAGCTGTGTGTAGGCTCAAAGGGATGATACAGATATGAGACATTTGCATAGGTGAAGTGATCGTTTCTGAATTGCCTGCAAAGAAGTTCAGCAGTTCAGAAATTCTCTCTTTAAGGAGATTAATTAGGATGGGATTTAAATGAAATATTAAAATTTAAACTGGAGGCATCAGTTAATAGTGTATTTTCAACTGTACCCCTGTTAGGCTGGAGGAAGAATCCACAAAGCAAGCTTTCAGCTTTCACAAACTAAGATTTGTTGTTGATGGTGGTCACATTCCTCCTTGGATGCCCAGCACATACATCCTTCTGTCATCTCTCCGGAGAGGTGTGTCTGGGAGAAAATTAAATTGTGCTGGAGAAAGGCAGCTGTGAAAATACCATTTGTTGAACCTGTCATTCAGTCCTGCACCTCTGTGGATTCATTGGCTGACCTGAGCGGGGGAAACAAGCAGATTTGCCTTGGAGTCTGCAATCCTCTCTTTTTCTTCCTCTCCTGCCTGCTCTCCAACAGGGCTCAACTCCTGCTGGCAGAGGAGAAGAGATCCAAACAGTGTTCTTATTATCCAGCTTTGTTCAGCTGCAGTGATTGAAATGGGATGCAGTGTTGAATCCAAAGGAGTGCTGCATCCAAACTTCTCCCAGCCCAGAACAAGAAAGGAGGATGTTTTCCATGTTCTCTCCCTCTGCCCCCACCCAACTGTGTTCCCACTGGCTGGTTTTAGCCTGATGAGAAAGGAGGGGGAGAAGAGGGTGGAGGAAGGGAGGAGCCTGCAAAACCCAAACATATATTTGCAGAAACTTTGCTCTTAAAAATGCAGCTTCTGTGTTGAGACAAATTGCTGAGGCACAAGCCAAGGTCTGCTGCAGAAACCTATTTAATTTCTGTCTGCTTCTCTCTATGTAAGGGTGATAAATAAAGGTTTTCATTGCTAATTGTAACCACATGTGAACTCCAAATAGAAGGATTAGGAAGGGGGAAAAAACTAAGGTCATTTTTGTTCTGTTTCCCAGGCTTTCCCCTGCAGCTTGGTTACATTTTTTCCTTGCCTCCCTATGTATTTTAATGGTAGGTCTCTGAGAGCCCAAAATCCTGTCTGCTCAAATAGGAGTCTGGAAGGTATTTGTGACTCAGCAGTTTAAACTTTATTGACTCTTTGTACCAATTTAAAATGTAATAAAGACCACTGCTGGGCTCACTGCTCAGGAGATGGGAAAGAGAAGGACATTTCTAGTCATTGCTCTGGTTTTCTGCCTTTTTTTCGCTGTTTTTCAGTCTTTAAGCTATGCTTCACTTGTTCCCTGTAACAAATTACATTGGATTTTCTGTTTAAGGGCCTGTCCTCACAAAGAAAAAAGTTGTATTTCGCAGCAGCCTACTTTAACATCTTGCTGTGGGTAAGACCTGCTGTGGTTTTAACATTGCATTGGAAACCTTGGTGTTCCAGTAATTCCTACCAGTGCTTGGCCCTTACCAAAACCCACTCTGGCTTTGCTAGACTTAGGCCAGTCTAGACAGACTCTTAAATATACAGCATCTAATCAACCACCTTAGCATCTCTTTTGCTCTCTCTCTTCTGTGTGCGCATCTTGATTAAAAGACACCATACTAATGACTCATTTAGAGGGTTTTATTTACTTTCCCAGCAGGAACCTGTAGTATTTCACCCAGTTGTTTCTTCAGCCCTTTGTTAGTGGGCAGAATGAAAAGGCAGAAACGGGGTGGGGATAAAAGCCAGCTGTGTGGAGAGGAACAGCAGGGAAAGGGAAACAACAATCCTAGTGGATCCAATCCACAGGTGGATTCTCCAGCAAATCCATTCCAAAATTAGCATGGAGAACTTAGAGGTTGTTGTCCTTCCCCTTGTGTTAATAATAGTAAGTTTCAGTTTGTTGCAGTGCAGTTTCCTAACTAATTTTTAAAGTACCTCTCAGCTGCGGTGTAATTTTAGGGCCTTTTGGTCCAAAAAGCTTGAACGCTGTGACTGTAAAGCTTGAACTCTGTGATGGTGTAAATGTTTGTCATTTTCTGCTTTGGTCTTGCTATGGCAGAGCTCTTAGCATGAGAGAGACATCACCTGAATATTAAGGCAACTCTGACCCCTGAAGAGAACAGTACTTGAGGATTAGCCTCATCAAGTCCAGCATTAATGCAACTGTGGAAGCAGCCAATATAAGGAAATTCCATCTTGTGACTGCCGGTGGCGTGTGTTTGTCCTGTGGTTATTTGTACCTGCTGGGATAGCTCAGTGTCAGCTCCTCAACTACTGGTGTGTTTTATGAGAGCTGTGTCTCGATGCTTAGATCTGTTTATATTTATATTTCTCAGTGGGACTAATAAATGCATTACATCAGTGCTGTGCTACCACTCAGCTGGTCCCCTGCCGCCTCCTCTGCTCTCAACAGCTAATGGGAGCGTGTTGCCCTCTCTAGCCCTGTTCCCATTGAGGATGGAAAAGAAATTCTGGCTGTAGCAATAAGCCCCAGCATTTTATACCATTCTGGCCTGCACTGGAAGCAAAGGATGCAGCCTAAGCTCCTTCAGGCATCTTGGCTGATGTCATTCAGACATCCCTGTGTGCCATTTCCATCCCTTGAAGGGGTTCTGCAGTTTTTTAAGAGCTGCTGAAGCAAGCCAAGTCCAGTTCTGAGCAGTAAATTGCAGAGGTGGTGTCTGGGTTTAAATGTGTAGCTCTCTATCCTCTTTCCTACTTAACCAGTGACAAAGCAAAGGATAACAAGGTGGATATTTTGTTACTTTGTTTTGCGTGTGTCAGGAAGCTCACATGATGTTTTGGATGTTCTGTTTGGGGTGGTTTCAGGACAAAAGGGGAGAAAACACTGGTGTTAGGAGAAGTCCCCCAAACAGGCTCCTCTCCATCCCTTTCTTTGCAGCCTGCTGTAAAACTCCCAACTACTTTTCTGTGTGAACACTAAGGATACATGTGGTTAGCAAGGAGGAGGATGTTTTTTCTTAGCTAGCTTGAAGTGAGACCACTATTCATGAATCCATCTCGTGTTGGCTTTCAGAAGGCAGCGGAGAACCTAAAACCCATCGTTCCCATCAAGTTCTACATCTCCAGCAGAACAGATACTGGTGTCCATGCACTCTGCAACGCTGCTCACTTTGACATCCAGAGGGCACCGGGAAAGCCAGCTTTTAATGAGGAACAGCTCATCCACAGTCTTAATTACCACCTGAGGTCTGAGCCAATCCGGTGAGTTGGTGGCAAGTCAAAATCTTTAATTTTGCCCTTGTTGGAAAAGGAGGAAATGCAACAGTGATCTGCCATCTTCACCCACAAGATATTTCCCCATGTGTTGGCAAACCACTCCCTTGCACAGGTGTATTTCTGTTACTACCAGACCCCTGGCACATTAAAGATCAGTCTTAGTCCACTGTTGTTGTTGTCAGGAGATCATATATGCTGGTACTACTACAACACAAACTGTGGGAGACTGGGGTTACCATGTGAGTATTGAATCCACTGGGATGATTCTAGTTTCACACATGAGCCAGGACATTAGCATGTTAACTTTCAGTGCTGCTTTATCCCCCAAACTCCCTCATTTTCTTTGTTTATTGGATTAGTACATAGCAAAATCTTGGCTGCCGTATTGCCTTTCACCTGTGTCTGTGCAAAAAGATGAAGAACAAACGAAATTGCTGTTAACATTAGTATAATGTACTTCTTCCTTCCCATGTGATCAGCCTCTCCTCTTCCCTGCTAGACCAAGGCTACCACTTGACATGGTTTGGAGAAGTTACATCAAAAACTCCAGTTTAATTTTTTTTTGTAGCAAGACTTGATGTTTTTGCTCAATAGGATAGATTGTCTGTTTCCTATTATACCCAACTGTTAATGACTAGGGAGAGTTGTGTATGAATGTCGTGAGGAACTTGATACAGCAATCTACAGAGAGCAGCACAGGCATTTCTTCCTATTTACTTCATTCTTCTTGTTAGAGTTACTACTTCTTGCAGAATTTCAGAGTGAGCTTATTCCACATGAGGCCTAGGTCTAAATCGCCGCACTCAAAGGCAGAAGAAGCCAAGAGTTTCTGTTAGGAATTTGCATCAATTACATAAGTAATTACTGCACTCTGTGAATTTCTCTAACGGTGGATTGAATTTCATGTTTTTTGCTTTTCTTCCCAAGCTGTTGTGCAGCTGTCAAACAGTTTCTGTGTTCTTCCCCAGACATGGGGGCATTTTTATGGCTAAAGTGTAAATTGAATGAAACACTGGGGTTTTTAGACTGGAAGCCCAATCTGTGCTATGTCACAGAATCAACGTGCCACTTGCCAGCAGCTGCTTTGCTGCCCTCTGTTCTTTCTTGTCTTATTTGGGTAAACCAAAAGCTTTTGGATGTCTTTGTCTATGCAGTGTTTGGCACAATAGGACTTGAATCTTGGTACATTACTGAAGAGTGTGTCAAAGTACTTCAGTGCGTTGTGCAAGAAGATGGGTAATTTATAGGAGTTATTTAGGTGAGCAAAAAAACTTTGACGCAAGATGCCAGTTGGTAATTGCCAGTTGGTAATTACTCAGAGGCCTGGGATGCTCTGTTTCACATTCCTGCAGTCTTTCTGATGCCGTGAACGTGAAGGAAGATTATGGAGGTAAATCCCCCATGTCAGAGCAAGGCCCAGGACAAAAAAGCACATCCCTCCCCACCCAGTGAAGGGATTGTTGTAAGAATAGCAACGTTACTATGAAGTACGCTCCCCCTTCCCGCTTCACCCAGTCTGCTTTATTTTCTAATCTCTTCTTTGTGAAACAGGGCCTGACCCAAATGCTGACATAGCAAGGCCTGGGATTTGAGGACTGACATCATATTTGCATCTGGCCTTGGTTTTGCAAGGGAGGATTCTAGTTCTGCAGGACTTGGGGAACAGGGACTCCAGCTCTAAATGTGCAGGTGCTTAAATAGTTTGGGGTCTGAGGGAGGGAGAGGTGAATGGTGGTGGTACTTTTTCTCCAGGGGGGTCTTTCATGCATGTTCCACATGCTGTATAAAGTGAAGAGTGAGCTAGTATGAGTTGGTTGAAGCTGTGGCACGTTCTGCAGAAGGTGTTGATCTGCAGTTCAGTCAGCTGTTTTGACTTTTTCAGAGCACACTGCAAGCATTCAAACCTTAAGCAAAGGAAGGAACCTGAGGAAAGCAATCCCAGGTGGCAGAGTCTTCTCCAACTTTGACTACAGTGGTGGGCGTTCAGTACCTCTGGGAACCAGCCCACCAGCATCAGACTCTCCAAGGTGTTTGCCGCTGTTTTTAGAAGCAACAAAGCGATTGCCTGCCTCTGGCTGGCAGAGAGATGTGTGAGAGAGAGTGGGGACTTGATATTTCCTGCTGTAACGTGGTACACTGAGACTAGGATCTCACCTACGTACCTTCTGTAGGTCTATGCTAAAGAAGCATTTGGTGCCTGTAGCTCTCATGGCCTTGGGATTGGATTTTGCAGTGGCTTCCTGCAATATTTCTGGAGTTGTACATGAGTGATGCTTTGCATTTATTTAAACACAGTGGGACCTTTTATCCTTTATGGGCTTTCAGCTCAGTCAGAGACTGGAGCAGAAGCTGCAGCAACTGTCTTGGAGCCAGCTGCATTCCTTCACCTCCGAACAAGCACCATCAGAGGATGAAGGGGAAGAGGAAGTAAAATCCTTGGAATCTCAGCTCAGAAAAGAGGGCAGGAAGGCAGTGTGAGACCCTTGTTACTAGAAGTTCCTGTTAGCGGCTGTTTATTTCGTTGTTTTAACTGACCTTTTCCCCTGGATGTTTACAGTTCTTTTGGCAACACTCAGACAGCAATATTCAGACAGCTGTGGGAACAGCAAGAGGCCACACTGATTTTTTTCCCATTTGATCCTAAAAGTCTTCAACTGCCCATGTCAGCTTAGCTGTCCCTCCACGAGACCCCCTTGTGATGTCTTGTGGGTGAGCTCAGCCCCAGGGCAGCGTGCGATGGTTGTTAATGCTGCTTGAGCTTGGTCTAGAGTGTGGCTGCTGTTTGAAATGCAATGTCAATCCCCAGAAATCTGTAAGGGAAATTTCTCTCTCCCCCCCCATACCTTATTTGCAAAAATGTGTTTTAACAGTTTGCTGAGGTGGTTGCGTCTTTCTCTGAAAGCAGAAGTTTGACGGTGGGTACCTGAAAGAAAAGCAAATACTGATTTTTCCTGCTTTTCCTACACAACCCACGGACAGCCCTCCAGTAACAAGTCAGATCATGCATCCCAAGCCTGAGACTGAATATTAGCAGGATAATGTAAGCTTGACATTTTTGCACTTACAAATCCTGTTCGTCCCAAGGCATCTTGAAGTAGCAGATAGATTCCTCTGCAGAGAGAGGCCAAACAGAAAGCAAATCTCTCTCGAGCTAACAAAGTTGCGTGCTTAACACTTGTAAGTGCTGTCTCTTGACAGTTTTCAGCTTCTTTGACATACGTGTGAAGAGTCTAATGCAGCTGCTGTGGGGTGGAGCTGCAGATTATTTCTTTTCAGACTGCTGTGTCAATTAAAAAAAAAAAGATTCTGAAATAGAATTTGACTTTTGAGGGGTTTTGATTATTATTTTTGCTCGGACTGAAAACTAGGTCAGAATCTATGCACACTGGAAGTCAGACCCTTCCTGGATGTTCTAGTAGTAACTGGGAACATGAAATAGGTCATAGTTTTGATTTCCTTCCTTAAAAGACTAAAGCAGTTGTTTGGGCGTCAAAACTAGTTGAGTTTGCAGCCAGAAGGTACCACTGCAATGATCAGGCTGTTCATGTGTCACAGACACTGAATGTCAGTCTCTCTCTCCCCAGTTCAGGCTTGTAACTCGTGAGTTATGTTGTCTAGTTTTAATGCAGTAAGTTCAATACTTTCAATACTACTAAAAAGCCTTTTTTCTCACACTAAGATCTGACAGGTCCGTATCAGGAGGCAATATCTTCTGATGAGTTAGAGTGTTGGAGTTTATCAGGGTGAAGCCAGCTCTACTCGCTCCTTCCTTCCTTGGGCTGAACCTTTTAAAAATGGTTCAGCTGCTTTCCATTAAGGAGCTCGGTGACGGGCATGAGTCTAAGAGTATTCAGCAGCCATCCCCTCCCTCTGTAAATATGACTTTGCCAAGAAGAATTCTCTCCTAATGCTGAAGAGAAAACTCAGCACTTTCATGTGGTTGCAAGCAGGGGGTGATGGAGAGAGGAATCTTTGTGAGCACACATTATTGTCAATAGAGCTTGGAAGGGAAACAAGATTCCAATCTGGCTGACTGTATCATCAGCAATAATAACCTTCTTTGTAGCATGATGGGTCTCTTCTATCAACTGATCTGTCTTTTAGATTTGCAAAGCATGTTTGAAAGGTCTTGTTCACAAAGATCAGAGAGTATTTCATAGATGGGGTAACTTTAGGAGGACTTTGTTGTCCCTTAAGTAGGGATGTTAATATGGTAGACTCACACCTTCTCCTTTGGGTTTCAGCTTTGTAAGCACACAATAAAAGCTGTTGGAATGACAAGACAGAGCTGAGATTTGTCCCACCTCCTACAAATTGGCATTTGGTTTCTGTAGTCAGTGGAGAGAGAAGGATGTACTTCTGGAGGACATCGTAGTGTCTAATAGATTGCAATTTCTAGGTAGATGTCTTCAGGCTTTTTTTCCTTTAACCTCCTCCTGAAATTTCCTTCAACCTCCTCCTGAAATTACCTGTTGAAAAGGTAAAGAATGCTCTAGGTAGATGTCTTCAGGCTTTTTTTCCTTCAACCTCCTCCTGTAACTCAGGCTCTGTTGAAAAGGTAAAGAATGCCTTCAGCTTTGTAAGCACACAATAAAAGCTGTTGGAATGACAAGACAGAGCTGAGATTTGTCCCACCTCCTACAAATTGGCATTTGGTTTCTGTAGTCAGTGGAGAGAGAAGGATGTACTTCTGGAGGACATCGTAGTGTCTAATAGATTGCAATTTCTAGGTAGATGTCTTCAGGCTTTTTTTCCTTCAACCTCCTCCTGTAACTCAGGCTCTGTTGAAAAGGTAAAGAATGCCGTGAGTCTTTATTTACCAGCAGTCTTTCAAAAAAATGGGATCTTAACAAGGCCTGAAATGTGGCTGCTGGAGTAAGTGCTGGAAAGACATTCCTAACTGGAAAGAGCCTATAATAGTAATTGCATCTGCTAGAAGAGGCAGGAGAGGATGCCTATGCTGAAGAAGCATGTGACCATAACTAGGCTTTCCTGAAAGCATCACTCTGTCAGGAGGAGTAACAGGCTAGTTACTTAATAAAAATCACATAAGCATTAACAAGAGAAGCTCAAGATAGATGAAATGCTTGTGGAGGCATGCAGACAGAAGAAAATAAATGTAATAATTATATTATTATATTTAGAAGAGGCTGGACATCCTAGGTTCAGGCTCCATTGCAGGCCTGGAGGATGTAGTCTGCATTTCTACTGAGCATTCATAGCAGTGGAGCAATCTCCTGGGCTTGTTATTGTGAATCGTTGTGGAGGCCTGTGGCTCAGCTTTAATTTCTTCTTCTGTGGTCTGAGCCTTTGCAGTCAAGGGATGCGAGCCAGAGGCACTTGAGCTGGCAGAAATACTTGAAGTGCCAACCTTTTTAAAATAAATAAATAGCTCTGTCTATTATTTGGTCCCAAATGGTATCGTATTTTTTGGCTGCCGTGGGTCCCTTCTCCTCACTATGTCAAACTCCAAAGACAGAAAAGACACACAGCAGGAAAAAACCTGCCTTGTATCCTCTAGAGTAACACCTGTGGAGAGGTTGTGTCTGTGTGACAGTGGTGAGTAGCCAGTATTCTGGGATAAGGGAAAATCAAATCCAGTAAAAACAGCTGCTGATGTGTTCAAATCAATGGTAAGACTTTGGGAGAGGTGCAGGAACACAGGGAAGCTCTGTTTTCTCCATTGTCAGACAGAAGGATGTTTTCCTCTCTGACAGCCTTCATACCCTCCCTTCTGGCTACCAAGCTGTGTCCCACAGTGAAGGTGACAAGATACAAGGCAATTTCTCCCTGTTGCTTGCAGAAGAAAACCGAGGAGTTCAGCTGCCTAGAAAGCTGCTTCTTGAGTTAACTGCCCAGAGTCAGTGGATGATGAGCAGAGACATTCCCAAAGGCCATTCTCTGTGAAATGCAAGGGTTCCTGTCAGGTCTGAATGCAGAATTCTGCTGTTTTCACATAGACTCACTCTAGGTGATGGTGGGATGCACCTTTATTTTCACTGCTGCAGCAAGGTCCTATTTGTCTTGGAGGTTGTGGGGGGAAGGTAGGAGGGAAGTGACCTAGTTTCATCTATCTCCATCTGCTACAGTGAGCTGTATAGCTGCCTTTGAGAGGGAGCACAGAGGTAGCTGCTGTTGGAGTAGTCCTTCCCACATGTGTTTGGGATCGTGGTTCTGCAAAAGCAGAAGGGCAGAGTGTCTGTAAGGTGCTCTCCTCAGCTGGAGATGGAGGGAGTCAGCTTTGCTTTGCTGCACATGGGGACAGACTTCTTAGCAGGGCCTGTTGTGACAGGACAAAGGGTAATGGCTTTCAACTAAAGGAGGGGAAATTTAGATTAGATATAAGGAAGAAATTTTTTATAGTTAGGGTGGTGAAACACTGGCCCAGGTTGCCCAGAGGGGTGGTAGATGCCCCATCCCTGAAGCATTCCAGGCCAGGTTGGACGAGGCTCTGAGCAACCTGATTGATTTGAAGATGTCCCTGCTCATGGCAGGGGAGGTTGGACTAGATGATCTTCAAAGGTCCCTTTCAACCCAAGTGATTCTATGGTTCTGTTCTATCAGTTGCCATTTCTCAACTGAAGGACTGATCAGTCTTAGCCTCTTGTGATGGTGTGAGCATCCCCAAAACGTGTTGATAGATGACCCAAAATCAGCTCCGCTGTGCATTTGATGGCAGGGGTGATGCTAAGGCTCTTTTGCTGCCTTCTAGTTGACAGATGCCTGTGGCAGCCTACAGATGGTCACTGGTTGGTTGTTGGCTGTCAGGAGAAAATGACATTTCATAGAATCATAGAATTTCCCAGGCCGGAAGGCACCTCCAAGGGTCATCTAGTCCGACCTCCCCACAGTCAGCAGGGACACCCCCAACTAGACCAGGTTGCCCAGGGCCTCATCGAGCCTCTCCTTGAATATCAGTTTCTCAAATAATCCATTGTATGTTTCAGTTCCCATCTATGTGGTGACCAGGCAAAAGCTTTTGAATTAGTGCATGACATTTCTCTCCATCTTGCTCATTCTCTTCTGTCCTGACAGCATCTTGAATGTCTATCGAGTGGCCAACAGCTTCCACGCGCGCTTCTCTGCCCTGTCAAGAACCTACGTTTATCGGCTGCTGATGGGCTGCACTCATCATTCTCAAGTCCCGGTGTTCGAAAAGGATCTCTGCTGGGCTCCCACAGGAGGGTAAGTGTCTTCCATTAAATCTCTCTGGAGAGTGACCTCATCAACACTCTGGAAAGGCCTGGCTTCCAGGGGAAGCAGGGAGGGGGAAATTTCCACATGTGAGACCAGATTCTCTGTTCATATGGACAAGATTTCCCCGCTGAAATCAGTGCACTGAGTGATGTTCACTGAGACCTGAGAGTTACAGCTCTTTTTAATTGTAGTGTCAGTCGTACTGGTGATTTCAGTAGTTGCTAGTGAGAGGACAAGGGGCAATGGGCACAAGTTGGAACATAAAGGGTTCCACTTGAGTATGAGGAAGAACATTTTCACGTGGAGGGTGACGGAGCCCTGGAAGAGGCTGCCCAGGGAGGGTGTGGAGACCCCTTCTTTGGAGATTTTCAAGCCCCGCCTGGATGCTCCTGAGTAACATGCTCTGACAAGCTCTGGGTGGTCCTGCTTTAGCAGGGGAGTTGGACTGGATGATCTCTATGGTCCCTTCCAATTCTAAAAATTCAGTGAAATTCAGTGAAACATGCTTAGCACTGCTGAAATGCTCAATGGCTCTGGGTAGGGTCCATCAACAACTTTGCATGCCCCTTCCCGTGGAAGTGAAGAGCATTTCCTCAGATGACCTCACTAATTCATACAGCAAACCCATTTGGACAGCTGGCTGAGGGAACAGTGCTCTGATGTGATGCAGACAGGCAGAAATGCATTGCACGGCAGATCTCAGAGTTTTAGGTGTGACCTTACAGGCAGGCAAGAACGAGGGCTAAGAGTTCTCTTTTTTTTTTATTCCCCTTAGTAGTATTTCTGGTACTGACTCCATGTAAATCTGTGCTCTCGTTCCCTGTCTGAGCATCTGAGAATCAGTGATTCTGAGCAACCCTACAATGACAAACCAGTGTATCTAGCTCAGTAGTCACTTGTGTTCTTGGAGTAGCCACTGAGTCATAACAAATCAGTGCTTGTGTATGCAAGGGAAGAAAAACAAATTCTATGCCATTTAAAAAACCAACATGATAAACAGTGGGTGAGGAAAAAACAAACAAAACCCAGAAGATAATTTGTTATTGTCCTTTTAGTTTATGTTGTACTGAGATAAACATACATTCAAGAAAACTGGTTTTCCACCACACTATAGAAAAACAGGTTTGTAGCCAGTTATGGTAATTTCATCACCACTATTGGAATAACAACTGCGGGTAATGGAAAAAAATGTAATCTCAGCTGCTGTAGCAGGGGAATGAAGATGACATTGTGCTAACATTACATTGCTGACTTTCTTTTCTGTGGGCTGTGGAAGGGAAAAAGAAATACGAAATAGCAAAATTAGATGTTATGTGCACAAAGCGCCTTAATCTCGGGCTTTATGAAATAGTGTTTAATTTAGCCCAGACACTGCAGTTAATTTTCTCAAATGGCAATACCACATAAAGGGTAGGGTGAGCATAGTAGAAATGCTGAATGGGAGGTGTCTTACTAAAAAAGTGGGATGTTTGGAGTGCTGGTAGTGGAGAAGCTCACAGTGTGTGCCCTGCTGAGCACATCTGGTGTGTAGTACACATATATATCACACTTAATGCACATTAAACTTCTGTAGACATCTGAACTGCCAGCTAGGTGTCACTAGCACTTCTCAGTGTGACCAGGATTTTGTAAGTGCTGGTCATTTGTCTTGAACACAATGAAAAAAATTAATTATGTTGGAAACCCCCATCTTGATTTTTTTGTTTGCTTGATTTTTTTTGTTTGTTTGTTTTCTTCAGAAACAATCTGAAAAACTTAAGCCATAAGTCATGTTTATTTGCTTAAGCTTTTCTTAGGAGAAATTTATAAAAATAGAATAAATAAAAGCATGTGTTCAACCAAATATATTAGTAAATCTGTCTCGGTTTCTTTGCTTGAGACTATTTTGAACAGACCTACATACTTCACATGAAGAAATCTGAATGACACCTGACATTATGAGTTTTTCCTTTGACCCTTCCTTCTGTATCCCCACCTTGGGTTCCTCTCTGATGGTTCACTCACTCATTCCATTTCTGGTACTTCCTAATTTCATCTTCCAGCTGTTGCAAATCTAAGGTTTGGAAAACCATCATAGTGTTTGGTATTTTCTCAACCTGGCAACATCTTATTCAGTTTATAAGATCCAGATATTGTAAAGGGTTTTGTTTCTCCTGCCCTATGCTCTAGGCAGCAATTGGAATGGAGTTATTTGAATTGAACTGTTATAAGAAACACCACAGGATAAAGGTTTGTGTAAAAGCATGTGCCTGCCAACCCCTCATCTTGCCTGGGGTTTCAAATACCTTCAGACCTCAGGTGACTTGGCATCTTGGCTTGTGCTTTGGGCTATGACAAGACAAACTCCATCTTGCAAAAAGTGCTTCCATGATGCTGCAGTGTTAAATTTGCGTGCCAGTTTTCGGCCTTTCATCAATTAAGTTGGGTTTTTGACCCCCCTACCATACTTTGTCCTACCTAATGTGCCTTTCTTTTTGCTCTGCATGTTTACTTTCAGCTCCCTGAACGTGCCTGCCATGCAGGACGCAGCACAGTTCCTGCTGGGGACACATGACTTCAGCACCTTTCGATCACTGAACTCCGAAACGCCTTTTCAGTCTCCAGTCAGAACCATCCTCCAGGCAGACATCCAGCCCTCTTCTGGGTTCCTGTCCCACCACTATGAACACAGGTGAGATCCCAGATGCTCAGCAGAGGAGCTGCTCTGCTCAGCTAGTCCTTGCTTTCTCTGAAATGCTGTTTTCCAGCACTGCTTTGAGAACTGACCTCCTGTGTCAGCAGGGTTCTGCCTGGTGGCAGCTTGGAAAGGACGTTTCTTTCCCTCTCCTCCCCAAAGTCCTCGGGGAGAAAGATGAGCAGGAAACTGGTCCAGTTGTTTGTACATTAAAAGGCAGGATGTTATAAACTGTTGTATGGAATCTAGCACAGGGCAATTCCTATGAGGTGTTTCCAGCATTTACACTCATTTTGGTTGCTAAAGACTGGCTCTGTCAGGGGATGGGAGTTCTCCCCCTTCTGCTGCTGTCCTAGCTTTGCTAAAAGGCTGCAAAGAGAAGGAAGAAACCCCACCTGACACCTGGGTCCCTGCTGCAGCTATGCAGATCCCCTCAGTTCACACCACTAACTCCTACTATCTTCCCAGGGGATGTTGATGAAGGAAAGCCCAATATTCCTCAGTTGTTACATATGCAAACGGTTGTTCTTTCAGGACCAGGTCTTGCAAGTATTGAAATTAAGTGGCTTGATATATTCTCTCTCTAGTAGAAAGTGAAGATTTTTTCCCAGAAAGATTATGGGTATTTATCATCTGAACTTTAGCTTTCATGCTGGCTTTTCACAGATACATGGAAGCTGTGTTTCAGCTTGAAAGCAAACCTGGCTGTTTGTCTCCAAACTGCATTTTCCTGCTTTCTGATGAGGAGAAAACCCTTCTCTTTGTAGTTTTCCCCACCAAATACCTGCTGAGCTGTCTGTAACAGTCAGTGCCATGCTCCAAGCTTCGGAGCCTCGCTGAGTTTGCAAATAACCCACTGTTTCTTTCACTGCATCCTGGAATGGCGTATTTTGCCAGCAGTAATGGATGAGGAAAACCAAAAGGGAGCTGCAAAACCAGAGAGAGATCTGTAGAGATCTGAGTAACCCTGGCCTTTCAGTTCCTCCCAGTTCCTCCCATCTTCTCCGATTCCTGCTTTTCCTGCTCGGTGGCGGTGCCTGTCAACACACAGCCACATCATAAAGAGCCACCCAGTTGGGTATGGCACTGCCACTGCCACTCTGCTGTACATGCAGAAAGAGGTAGGCAATTAGTGCCAGGTGTAAGTGCTTACTTCCCACTTCTTGCAGCTGAGAAACACCATTCCCATGGGAAAAGGAAGGCTGGAGAGGAAAATGGGTGCTGTCAGGTGGCTGCATTCCTGCTGTTTGCCATTGGGTTGCTGTTGCTGAATGGAGAGCTTGGTCTCCCTCTGCCAAGCGTGGTTATGGTTCGGGACACAAGTAATAATGAAATGCTTCATCCACAGGATTACCTTGTCCTTTATGACAAGTTGCATTATAAGTGACAGAGTCCTGAGATAACCTGAAAGTAACCATTAACAAGTGATCTTGTTGAGATCACTTGTGAGCGCATATGGACCAGGTTTCCTTCCAAATCCAGACCTGCTATTGTCAGTTGGCTGATCTCTGAGATTTACACAGATCAGCTCTTTTTTATGTCTTCAGTTTTCATGTAAAAATTGGAATTTGCAGTTCTTTGCAGAACTTGCTATATAAACCCATCCCACATGAGGCCAAAAACAGCTCACGAGAGAGAGAGAGCAAACCTAAAAAACTGGATCAAAAGCATCAAGCTAGTTGCTGATGGAATATTTTTGCTTTTGGTGACACATGCAGCCAAACTTGTGTTTTATAGTGAGTCATTTTGATAATATGTCAATATAAATTGATTTAATGAATGTTTAGGCTGAAGGGGATAGCTTTGAGAAGCCTATTTTCAATGCATTAAACTAGCATTTAACTCTCTTAGAATACTTTGTTAGTAATAACCACAACCGTGAGTTTTCTGATCAGGAAAAAAGGTTGTGGGTTTTGGGTCTTTGTGACAGGCTGTTGGGGTTTTTTTTGTTGTTTGTTTGTTTGGGTTTTTTTAATTACAGTGTCCTAGTTTTAATCTGTCAAACTCTCAAACTCTCCCCATGAGAACAGTTGCAGTCGTGGAGCCCGTGTTTGCCCATTCAGCAAATAAGACAGCAAATATTCCTGAAGTGCACGTGTATTTCTTCACTGCAGTAGAAGAATGAACTGTTCCTGCAATGAAAAGGCTGGGATAGCAGTAAAAGCTAAATAGATTTTTTTTTTTTTTTTCCTTAGCCTGATCTAAGGAGGTTTATTTTCTGTTTCAGAGGGAGGAATCTGTAGAATGATAAACCATGGTCTCTTAGTCCAATAATGCAGCTTTTCTTTCTCGTTCTTTCCTTCCATTCTGAACTTGAACCAATCTTCTGAATTGACCACTTGTCTGCTTAAAAGGCTGACTGTTAAAATGACTCCTTCCATCAAACTCAGTTGCTCAGCAACAGTGGAAGTGGAGTTAGTGCCCCATCCTTACAAAAAGCTTTTGAACGCTCAGGATGTGTTCAGAGGCTTAGCCCCATCTCTTATTCCTGGGGAGTGATTGCTCTGTCACCTCTTTCCTACCTGAATATGTTTTATTCATTGCAAGGTGCTGGCTTCTGCTGCCAAGTGGAAAAAGACAGCTGGGTTTTTTGCTGGTAAGCAAAATTGTGAGATTGACAAGAAAAACAGCTTCCCTCTTAAAGAAAAATATCTTGTAGACTTTGAAAGAGAACAAGATATTTTTTCTCTTTATCTTGACCCATCTTTAGTAGCCTAATGTATCTTGTCAAGACAACCGAGGCAGGAGAATCCTGGCTAAAGAAGGTGCATGCAATCTGGTGAGAGGGGGATTTGTCCCTCCTTGAAAAAAAACTGTCTCTTGGTCTTTGCTAAAGGTCTGAGCTGAGTGATGACCTCGATGTGCTGGGTATTTGTGCATGTGTCAGCAGTGCACATGTCTGCCATCACATCGAGCTGGAGGGAGAGCACACCGTACGTGAGTGATAGAAACCTTGTCATTTCCTGACATAAAGAGGAATCTGGGGGCAGGAGCTGCCTTTGCATATGCCAACATACACAACAGGGAGGGCTAAAAGCAGTAATTTGTAAATCCGGTGAGAAAACAGCTTGTGGCTGCTCCCTGCAGTGACTGTGTCACAGTTTCTCTTCCTGCTGGCCCTGCCCTGGTCAGAGAATCATACAATCTTTGAGGTTGGAAGGGGCCTTTAAGATCATCGAGTCCAACCATCAGCCTAACTGCCAAAGCCACCACTAACCCCTATCCCTCAGCACCACATCTGCCACCACATTTTAAATACCTCCAGGGAAGGTGATTCCAGCACTTGCCTGGGCAGCCTGTTCCAATGTTTGACAACCCTTTCAGCGAAGAAATTTTTCCAAATATCCAATCTTAATCTTTCCTGGGCCTGGGAGTCATGTTGTCCCTGCTTCATCTTTCTTCTGTGGCTCACAAGAGCCATCCCCTCTCCCAGGGAACAGGCAGCCCCTTTCTCCATACCCAGGTGTTTCCAACAAACCCAGCCCCTTGTCTGGACCCTCTGGACAAACACATTGCAGCTGTGCTTTGCTCACACCTGATTCTAGTCTCCATAGCCCTTAGATACCCAGTCACTGGGCTCATTGCAAGGGAGGAGAGGAGAGGGTTTGCATGGAAATACTTGCTTTTCTGGATTATACAAGGTAAGTTTTGTCTCTTTTTGCTGTAGGAAGGCTGTGAGATATAAGAAGCACTTATAAGCTATGAGTGAGTTTGTTTAGGGTTTTTTTATTGTTACTTTTATCAACATGGCTTCTAGGATTGCTTGGTAGCGTAGAAGCTTGGGGATGCAGGTGCTGAAGTGAAAACCTGCTCCTTTTTGTGCTCTGTTGACATAGCTGATGTTGATCAGATGATATCTGATGTGTCTGTTTCTTTTTTTATATATATCTAATGTGTGTATCAGGTTTTTCTTATTTGTAGAATGGAAACATGAATATAGGTTCTTCCCTGCAGGACCGCTCCTGAGGGCGGGTTGGCTTTGGGTTTTAGTGTAAGAGCTGGTACCAGAACATCCACAAAACCACAAAAATATTTAGAAAGCAACCTGTAAAGATTTAGGAGAGGATGCAAGTGTCAGTGAAGTCTTGGAATAGTCAGCCTCATTAGAGTTCTTATAAAGAATATGTGATGGAAATGTGATTTTAAAATGCTTTTTTTTCTTCCTTTCTTTAGGGGACTGGAGTTTTGGGAGCTGAAGTTCAGGAGCAGATCGTTTCTTTACCGACAGGTACTGTTGGGTGCTGTATTTGCCACACCAAAGTGTTGCTGTCTCTATAATTATTGATGGGGTTAGAAGTGTTGCATCCCTGTGTGGTGCCATCTCTGTCACAGAGCTGCTGTGACACACACAGGGACCTGGGATCGGAGAGCTGAGGTTCTGTAGTCTCTGTTTTAGCCAGTAGAACCAGAATCTCTTAAATTTGTCTCTAAAATGAATGTCCAAAGTCACGGAATCGTGTGGGAGGATGTAAAGTTTTGTTTTCCACAATCTTTGTCCTTGCAGTCTGAGTGGTAAAACCCAACAGACATATGTTCTTGCTCTGCTGAATGGCACTGGGCCCAGCAAAGACTGCCTGGAATTTTATTTTCTGGCTTTGGAGCATGAAGTAATTCTCAGTGCTGCACAAAGGAGAGGTGGGAAGGCCTGATTCAGCTGCGCAGGCAGAACTGCAGGATCTTTCCCTCTGCTGTGCTCTCTGGTCTCCCCTGGGTTTTCTTTGAAATAACTCCAGTGGGGTTTTTGCTGCTATCCTCAGGGGAGACAGCTCTCCCCACAGCTTAATGGATCACCTCGTTAGGAAGGAGTTGGCTGTTCTCATTCTGCCTATCCTGGCCGTGGTCACACTCTGGAGACAGGGAATAGGCAAGAGAGGGCTTGTTTTTCAGAGGAGAGAGGGGGTGTTTTGTGGGAACAGCAAGCAGCTATTTTTTATTCTGTTTTGACAAACCAAATTTGTTTTTTATCCTGCGCCAAGCAGTGCTCTGTGAGCTCTCTGACAGTGGGTGTCTGGATACGAGCAAGGGAAGAACAACAACGTGCTTGAGGAGGGCTTGATATACAGCAGGGATTTGCCTCCTCAGATGCTCTGGTGACAGGGAGAAAATACTGGTAACCCATTTAGTGCATTAGAAAGGAAATGCTGTTTAGTGACATTAAGCAGAGAGAAGAGTTACCCATAATAATCTGCTCAGCCTAATGCCCTCTCTGACCCCCCGTACAGCGAGCTGGCAGCCTGGAGAGGAGCAGGAACAGGCTGGGCACGATGAACTCAAGCTCTTTTTATTAGAGAATTGCACTGTTTTTATTAGAGGCAAGGGTTAAACAGCCCCAGAAACTGTATGTATGTATTTTTGCTGAATAGCTTGGACACCTTGGGGAGACACCAAGCACGTGGCTATTTCACAGGGGTACCATTAGTCTGCATTTAGGGAAGGAACTCCAAGTGTGGAGACATCAAAGCTGAAGTCGCAGCGTACAATGACCTCTAGTGAGGGATAAATAAAATTACAGATGTCAAGGATCTGTGCTTCTCTGTGCCATCTGCTTAAAGGCAGGCTCTTGGCACTCTGCAGAGCAGTTTAAGATCAGAGCACACACAGAGACGCAGTGCTTGCCTTTGGATAAATACATCTTGGCTTGTTGGACCTTCTTCGTTAGCAGTGATAAACACCATCAGGTTGCTTAGAGGGCTTTGGTTTATTCTTCTGCAAATGTTAATGGATCAAAAGCTTAGACCGACGCTTCATTACAGCATCACATTTAAGTTTTTGAAGAGCTTGCTGTGCTTTGAAAGGTCATTAATAGAATGAATGTTTATTTAGGCCAAGTGACTGATCGTGCCTGCGCAAGCAGGGATGTGTTTCTGAGAAGGTGAATCAGAGAGGACGGTGTCTGCTTGACCAGTTTCCCCCCCATGGGCTGGTACTGCAGTTGCCTATAAAATTTGAGACTGGGGGACAGTTGTTCCCTTCTCTGTTTTCGTCCTTGGTTTCCCCAGGGAAACCGATGTTTCCCTGAACTATTCCCAGATGTTTCTTGATGCCCATGGGGAGTATGTAACTGCCTGTATATTAGTCTCTGGATAAAAGTCTCTCTAGGAGTGCCTTGCTGAGAGTGAGCAATTTTGGCATAAGCTGAGGAGCTCTTACTTGCCAGTTATTCCTCAACAGCAGCTTCACAAGGCTGCCTTGACATCAGAAGTACCAGGAAGACGAGTGGTCAGTGCTCTGCCTTCAGAAGGGTGCCTTCAGCTCATGAAATGTAGGCACCACCCAGGGATGTGATAGCTGCTCATGGGGAACGAGCATTCGGTGCGCAGGTGGCATTGGCAGATGCAAGTCTTGGCCCTCCTGGAGCAGCATATCTTCTAGGGATATAGGAGGAAAGGGTGTTTTTTGGCTGAGAGGATGCTGAAGTGTGAGGGGTGCTCACACAGGAGGTGAGCACAGTGGTGTGAAATTTGTGTGGAGGGAGAGAATGGAAGCTGTGACACGCAGAGGTGTTTGAAATCCCAATTTGCAGCACTGGGGGGCTGTTGTCTGGCGGGCTGTCCTGGTTAGGGTTTTTTCTTTCCTCTTTTTTTGGCTTTCTGAGAGAGAAGCTAGGCCCCACCTGGAAATGGTGTTGCTTATATGTAAAGAACCTGTGAGCTCAGCTCTCCCAGCAAGGCTGCAAGCTTCCTGCCACAGACGGATGTGTGGGTGCTGCTGCTCTTTCTGATACAGAAACCACCCTCTGCTCTGCTTTCTTACCATGCATGATGAGAACAAGCCTTGCTCCAGTTGTGTGGCTGGAGATGGTTGTGTTACAGCTCCTCATCTCATTCTTATGAATGCCTTTAGTTGTAGGGAGGGAAGACTTAAAGGAAACGGGGTAATTTTGCTAGTTCTTTGTCCTTCCCCACCACCAGCTTTGGTGACTAGAAGATGCTGTGCCATTGCATGTTGCAGACAAGCTTAGCTGCTTCATGTTGTCACATCACCCCAGTCAATACAGAACCTAAACAGCCTACGCAGTCCCTGATAAAAAGGGAAAGAACACCTTTCCTCCACAGACTGTGGGGGTGACTGGGGTTGCTGGGGTGTGCTCGGGGACGAAGGGAGTATGATCTTTCTGCAGAAATAAAGTGGGCACTGGAAATCCCTGGAGGTGTGTGATACCAGAGGAGTACAAGGAGCAGCCAGGACTGGCTTGAACCCTGCAGTACGAGTCAGGGCTGTGATTTGGGTCACTTCAGTGGCACTTAAAGCAAGGGTGAGAAAGTTCTTTATATGGGGAAATGCTGGCTTCTTTCTGAACGCCCAGCTGGAGCAAAGTGCATGGCACTGGGAACAACCAGTAGTGCTAGGAACAGGAGAGGAACACCAGAAATTAGGCTCTCTGGGAACTGTGGGTTTAATAATAACGAGGTATCCATATTCAGGAGCAGGCTTAGGTAAAGAAATCATGGAAGTATCGTTCTTTTCTGAGTCACAGGCACTGAACTCTGATGAGGCTTCTAGTTTGACTTGCCATCAGTAGTAACTGTGGGCTGGGACACAGCATGAGTGTAGGACTCTGGACAAAACTTCCTAATCCCTTTAAGTTTTACAAGGGCAGCTCCTAAGCTGTCTTCTCTGTTTTTCCAGGTCCGAAGAATGGTTGGGGCCCTGGTTGCAGTTGGCCAGGGAAAGTTAACACCTCGTCACATAAAGGAGCTACTGGAGATAAAAGACTCGCGGGCTTTTCCACCAAATGCCATGGCTCCACCATCTGGACTCTTCCTAAAATCAGTGGAATATAACAAAGCAGGTAGGTGAGTGTAGGGAAATGGCATTTGTTTTGTAGGAGTCAGACCTAATACCAAAGGGAGCAGTAACACCCACAGCCTTCCCTTCTGTGCTGCCTGACCTATGGCTTACAGCTTTGTTCGTTGACACCCACGTCACAGTCAGTGCCCAGGACTTGGAGAGGTGTTTGCAGCAGTTGTTATGGAAAAAATGTGTATTTTTTTCCAGCTAGATTTCTTCCTCTTGCTTGCAGGGTAGTAAAAGAGAGGTTGTGTTGACTCTAACATTGAGATCTCACATAAATGATACTTCAAATTGTCATAAATTCCTGTTCTGTCCCTAGACAATGTATAAAAACCAACTCTTCTGTGGTATCTGGGCACCTGCAGGTGGGTTTCTGTTCACTCACTTCTCCCTTGGTATTTATGAGAGGATTGTACAGACTGGAGGACAGAGCCCAGATCATCCTTTTGCTTGTGTGGTGGCTCTCTTAGTTTAGATCAGATGCTGTCAAATTATCTGAGGTTTTTAGTTTAAAATAGTATAAATGGAGGGCTGGGAGCAAATTTGCAGAAGATGCTCTATGGATGTTGTGGAAGTTTGACATCCCTGCTAGGGATAGAAGGTATTTAAAGCTGCAAGGATTAATCCCTCCCTGATGAATCTGGTGCCTGTGAGATGTGGATACAAAGGATTTCCCACCCCCCAGCAGATCTTTTCCAAGCTGCCTTGTCTCAGCCAGCCCACAGACCTCCTCGAGTGGGCTTCAGGCATGTTTTTCCAGGAGTGGTGGTGCTCACGCTGGAGATTAAGGAACATGGAAGGGAAAGGGAAGCAACGAAGAGCAGTGGAAGGAGCTCGAATGGAGTTCTGAGCTCTTGGCCTGGCCTGGAGAAGGTGGCTTCTGTGTCCTGGGTTGGGCCCAGGGTGGGAAATGAAGAGCATATTTTAAGTGCTTTCAGGTGCTTTCAGTGCCATCTTTTTCCCTAAATCAATGTTTTCTTTTTTTTCCCCTCTCAGACTTGGACACTCCAGATGCCCCAGGAGAATAACAGCTCTGTGAGAAAGCAGCCCTGTCTGACAGGACCCCTGTGGAGTCGGGATGGAGGTTTGCCCAGCGCTCCTTACACAACACACTGTCTTGTCTCAATAAAAATCATTGACTGGGACTGTAGGCATCTTCCTATTGTTTGTTCTTCCCCTCTGAGACTGCCAAGGGGAAACGAAGAGCGACTCCAGGCTGCTTTCAGATAACTTTTTTTTGTTTTTCCTTTTTTTTTTCTCAGATTCTTGTGTGTGTGTCTCAAACAGGAGGAGGAAGGGTTTTTTCCCTTCTGTGGTGTGTGTGGGAGGGATACAGGCTTAGAACCTGGGGGGAGAAGGTAGCATTTCCTCTCTGCCCCTCTGCTCTGTCACCCTGGCTTTGTGCAGCAAAGTGCAAGGGACAACTGTTGCTGTTTGATGCAGTGAGTTACAGAAACAGCCTTTGAAAACACTCATGGTTTCCTCCCCTCATCCTCAGTCACTCTCTTGCTGAACTGCAGTGGTTGACATGACCCTCTTCCCTGGGACAAAGTTGGGTCTGTGGCGTGTTACAGGGGAAGGTTCCTTTGAGGTCACTTAAAACCTGTTTTAGTGGTCACAGCCTGGCCCGGTGGCCCAGGAATAGCTATAGGGGTGAGTCAGCTGAAGCATGAGATGCAGCACTTGGGGCGGCGGAGGCTCTGCAGCCAGAAGGTGGCTGTTGCTGGACCTTCATTTGCTTGTTGGTTGCCACCTTCTGCTCTTCCAGTTGTTGGTGCAGGGGCACCACAGAGCATGCTGGAGTCTGTCCGTGATCTAAGGGCGTGTAAATCGTAGTGCAGGGCAAGGAGCAGAGAGAACTTTTTTCTTTCTTTTTATTTTTTATTTATTTCAGCCATTCTGCCTGCTTATAAAACACACAATTGGGTAACTTGTGGGTTTTTTCCAGTTGTTGGTGCAGGGGCACCACAGAGCGTGCTGGAGTCTGTCCGTGATCTAAGGGTGTGTGAATTGTAGTGCAGGGCAAGGAGCAGAGAGAACTTTTTTCTTTCTTTTTATTTTTTATTTATTTCAGCCATTCTGCCTGCTTATAAAACACACAATTGGGTAACTTGTGGGTTTTTTTTTTTTCTCATGAATGACACCAGACTTTCTGTTTTGGCTAAAAAAAATGACTGTTAGAGTGCTAGGTTATGGCAAAGAGGATGAAAATTTTGCCTTCTGAAGTTCACAGAAGAAGCAATACCTGGTTTAAACGCTCCTGCAGTGGAAGCAATGTGCAGCTGAGATGTTTGACACCACCATAACTAATGTCCCCTTTGTCCATGAGAGGAGGAGGATGACAGAGAAAGGCAGTTTGTCAGAGCAGGCCCCTGCTTGGTCTGGTAAGAGGATGTTCTTTGTTCCATGGCAATTCAGTGATACAGACTATCCTGGTCAGATAAATAAAGGAAGAATCTTAATAACCCCTTGAGAGACTGTGGAGTTTCCACACACTGTTTGCACGGTGGAGAAGCACAGGGTGGGCAGAGGGAGAGGCAGTGGTTCCTTTTGGCCTCTCTTAAGGCCACCCTTGCCTTTGTAGGGCTCGAGCTCATGAGTGGTCCTGATACACAACAGAAGGAGAGCCCATTTCGGGGTGTCCCCTCATGAGAAGTGATGGTTCTCTCCCTTGCTCTGTTCCAGGTAGCAGTTTTACCAGAGACCCAATTTTGGCAGCATGAGAAGGAAAGACAAGACACTTTGGGTTACTCTCTCCCTTCCCGTGGAGCGTGCCGACTGCGTTACTCCCTCGGGGACTAATTCCCAAAGACAAGGACAGAGCTTTGGAGGAGTCCTGGGTCTCTACCACCATGGAAGAGGAGAGCTGAAGGTTCCTGTGGTACCTCCTTGTCCTCTCCTGGTGTGAGTACCCAGGGGCAGGGATGCTGTGACGTGCTGCAGTGATTAACCCAACGGCGGGGCCTGTCCATCCGTGTTCCCAACCTCAACGTCCCCAGGGGGTTTTAGTGGTTTTGCCTGGAAGGGAATGGCAGTGATGTTTTGCTCTTCCTTCCCTTGAGGAGAAGTGAGAGTGCAGACTGAAGCCCTGGTACCTGGTTTCAGGGTTCTGCAGACTGGTGGGACTGGAGGGCAGGAGATGGTCACGGGTGGCTTTGGGTGGGAGCGTTGTGCCTCCTTCCTGCAGCGGGTGCACAGGGAGGAGTAAAGTCCACACGGTGCTGGCTGTGTGCTGTGCTCTGTGCCCCATTCTGGGGGGAAACACCCTGCTGGAGGGGCAAGTGCTCTGTCTGGGATCTGAGTGACAGCTTTTCGTCTCAGCTTCCTGTGGTTTCTCTCTGCAGTGACGCGGGGGACGTGGCAGGGTGTCTGGCTGGGCCGTCTGCTCCCCTGGTAAAGCTCTACGTAGAGGAGTCACCTCGTAGTTGTGCAGAGGCTTTGGAGGGGCTGGTGGAACCACCTGCAGCTTCTGCCTGAGAGGTGATGGTCTGAGCTCTGGTAAGTGAACTTTCTGACTAAACTTATTATGAGTCTTTACAGGGCAGAAAAGCAAACCAAATCCTAATGCAGTTTGGGTGTAAATCAAGCTATAACTGCTACTGCAGGCTCAGGTATCGCTGGTGGGGTTTGGTGTTTGTTTTTTTTTGGTTTGGAGTGTGTGTGTTTGGGGTTTTTTAATAGTCGCAGCGCAAAAATACCTGTTATTGATGTTTCTGCAAATGTTTCCCAACTCCTGGTGACAATAAAAACCTCTTGTGCTTATGGGCTTGTTATCAAATGCAGTGACTGAGGGGCAGGTTCAGCCCCCCAGGCAGCAGTCTGGAAGCAGGCTGACTGCAGGCAGCACAAAGAACTGTTGTTGGGGGGCTCACTTTATTTTATAAATCCCAGAGCAACTGTTTAAAAATAACCTAAAGTCATTTAATTAAAGAACCCACTCTCTTGACATCATAAAATCTACTGTCAGTAGAGAACTTTAGTACAAACTCCTTGTCTGAATCATTTTTCGGTGTCCATTATTAATACTTGTTAGTTATTATCAAGAGGTATTTAGCATTCTTTTCCTTTTTATGTTGCAGTACTAATTCTTTTCAGTTGATTCAATTTGGACATCCAGTACTTGGGGAGAGCTGATTCTTGGGCAGTGATGCTTTAAAACTAAAACCAGAAAAAGCTCAGGCTTGACCAGAATTCAAAGACTCAAGCTTGGCTTTATATGAAAACGCTTCCAATAATTTAATGAACTCAAAATTCAGTGGAAGCCTGGTGTGCTTTTCTGGGGTTTTGTAAATCAAATGCCTTTGCACAGAAGCAGAAGTTATCAAATGACAGATGATAGGTATGAGATGGAGTTGTTAAAGACTTGCAAAATACTCGATTTTAGGGATTTATTATTTCCCCCCTTTCCCTCTACTGTGCCTTCCTTCTGCTGGAGTTGAGCTTCGATGGGTTGATGGTGCTTGATGGGCTGTATCTGGGGATGGTGAGTGTTGGTGGGACAGGCCTCGCTGTGACAACCTTCACCCAGCAGCTGGGGTGTCGGTGTCACCCACTGGTGACCTAAAGTGGGATCTTCTTTCAGCTGGAGAGGGATTTAGGGGATTAAGTGAAACTAAAGGTGCTGAAAGGAACCGATGTTGGTGTAGGATCATGGTCTGAGCAGCGTCGGTGTCACCCACTGGTGACCTAAAGTGGGATCTTCTTTCAGCTGGAGAGGGATTTAGGGGATTAAGTGAAACTAAAGGTGCTGAAAGGAACCAATGTTGGTGTAGGATCATGGTGTGAGCAGCTTCTGTGCCCATGGGAGACCTGGGACTGTGTCCTGTGGGGGGGCTGAGTGGAAGCAGGGAGTCCTTTGGTCAGACTCTCTTTGCCATCCCACAGGGGTCACTCAGCATCGAGCAGACAGGAGCTCTTGTGTCCACCTTCTGCAGAACCTTGGGACAATGTATGTGCTGTTTGTTTTGGAGCTGTGACCTGACAGTGTCAGGGATGTCCTTACTGATCTTATCTGGTGAGAAGCAGTAGCTCATCTGGCCTTTTTGCCATCCTGATTCTACAGCCTCTGCTTTATCTTGCAGAAAAGAGAGATGTTTGGTGGTTCTTGCTGTGGCCAAACTCTGAGATAAAGGTTGTTTCAAGTTCTGTGCTGCTTAAAACTGTGGCTTTGCTGTGCCTGGGTTCGTGCTGAGTGTCCTGTGTGTGTACAAACCCTCTGCCACCAGGTGAAGGACCCGTGTAAAGCAGAATGTGTTCTTGCCTACTTAAAGTGAAACTATTTTTTTTCCTTTGCAGTGTTCCAGTCACCATCTCGGGTGCGTTTGACTTCAGTAGGTAAACAGCTGTTGGGAGGAAGTGTGACTTCAGAGTTTCCTTTGGAAAGCACCCAACAGGCTACCTCTGGGCATGTTGTCATCTTGTGAGGAGTTCAGTGCCAGTCAGTAATCTGTCTACGGGGTCAACTTAAAAATGCCTGTGTTTTCAAAGATGTATTCTCCTGTACAGCAACGCCGTTTCCATCTGAATATCCCGAGTGCCGACCTCTGAGCCACAGACTCCACCAGCCGTAACATCGCTCCGTTGTGGAGCTTTAGCCCTTTCCCACCTGAGATGAACTAGAACCCAAGAACCTCCTGAGGTAAGGGATGCCCTGAGACGTTTATCCCACATGGAATCTCCTCACCCTCCAGCAGGAACCATGGCGGGTATTGCCTGGACCGAAGGAGTCTCCAATGAGACCGTGGCCAATTCCAGTTTGGAATTTGGCTTGGAAGCAGATTTCCAGTATTCATTGTTCACTGTCATCTACAGTGTTGTCTTTGTGCTGGGACTGATAGAAAACGTGCTGGCTCTGTACCTGCTGTCCTGCAGAGTGACCCACACCTCCCATTCCTACGTCTACATGATCAACCTGGCTCTGGTGGACACCTTGTTTGTTTGTGTGTTGCCCTTTAAAATTCATTACCACCTGAATCGGAACGATTGGATCTTTGGTGACATGGCCTGTAGGGTGACTGGGACCTTGTACTACATCAACATCTACCTGAGCATTGCCTTCTTCACCTGCATTTGTGTGGATCGCTACATCGCCGTCTTGCACCCCTTCACCTACATCCAGATCAAGGTCCTCCACTACGTGGTGGTGGTCGCGGTCCTCTGGGTGGTGGCTCTGAGTGTCATGGTTCCACTTATCCTGGGAGGTCCCCTCCACAACAGGGGGGCGAGGAACAAGACGCTGTGTTTTGAGAACTTCAAGACGAGCAGCTGGACGTCCCGCATGGCTCCTTACAACATCCTGGCCTTAGTTTTTGGGTTTGTGATCCCGTTTTCCATCATTCTGATCAGTTACCCTCTCGTCGCCAAGAGGGTCTCCCAGATCAAGCACAGCATCCGCAAGAGGAAGGCTCTGACCACCATCTCCATCATCTTGCTCATTTGCACCTTCTGCTTTCTCCCCTATCACCTCACCCACCTGCTCCACTTCTTAATGCGCGTCCAGGTCATCCAGAACAAGGCCTTCACCCGCCTCATCTACAAGATGCGAAGGGTCACCTTGGCCCTGGTGAGTGTCAACTGCTGCCTCAACCCCCTCCTCTACTACTTCTCCTCCTCCAGCAAGCGATGGCGCTGCAACTTCAAGCTCAGGTTCAGGTCCAAAATCGTGTACACCATCTGCGACCGGCAGTTCTGGGAGTCCTCCTGCGCTCATAAGGTACAAGAGGGACACGGAAATGAAAAACAGGGAGATGAGATCAACCAAGCTACTTAAAGTAAGTACAATATTCCTCTTTCCAGCTGTTTCTCCAAAAACAAACCCAGGAAGCCTTCCGTTCTTTCATACACTAATGTTTTGGTCTCCTTTTGTTGAAGTTTGGGGTTGGTAGGAGGACACAGGGCTCTTTTTCTGGAAAGCACAACAGCCCAGGAGAGGGTTATGTGAAAGCAAGCAGCCTCCTGATTGACACTGAGCTGGAGCTGGAGCAGAGTGGCTCTGGGCAGCCCTGTGGGGCTATTTCCCTGTTTTGGAGGGCTCCTGTGGCCAACTGGGCTCACAAACCACTCCCTGCCCACATTCCACAGCCAAATAAGGGCTTCTCGTCTCTCCCTGCGCATGGAGTGATGGGTTCTTGGAAGGTGAGTCCTTCAGAGCAGGGTTTGAGCATCCCCTGCCTATGGATTCGGGCTGGACAGCCAATAATGCCCTTCTAGATGAACAGATGCAGGTGTTCACCGCTCAGTTAACGCTGTGTGGTGGGTGAACGAGCTCCTCTGGCCACACCAGGACCATAGGAGCTGGCACAGCTCCCTCCATGGGGCCTGTTCCAATGTCAAAGCTCTTCAGTTGTTGTGTTGGTGTCACAAGATGTACCTGACCCCTGTCACCCCCCCTCTTGCCTTACAGACCCGCTCCCCTTCCGAGAACTGCTGTTTCCACCCCGCGAAACGTGAGACTTTGGAGAGACTTGATCATTTGTGGGTTCTCGGAGCCACCAGCAGAACCACGGGCTGGGCCACCAGAGCTGCTTCCAAGCCCAGGGTTTACTTAAAAGGATGTGATTTTGGTAACAGACACAGACCCGCTCTTCCGTTCCTCCCCACAGCACCCCCAAACTCTATGAAGCAATACCTGCTGTGGGCCTGTCAGCACAGGGGGAGGCTGGGACCAGGAGGGGAATTGGGTCTTTTTAACAGGGACCAAGGTATTTCCAGTTCAAAATGTGCAAAATACGGGCTGAAAGTCACCCCCTGACCTGGCCAGGCTGGGGTGTCTGGGTTTTGCTGCACTATTGGATGTGGGACAGGAACTGCCACGGACCATAAAGACGGGAGTGGGGTTATGGTGGGGGGAGAGACAGGATGGGGGCTCTGTACGATTCAGAACTTCTCTTCACCCAACGATGGACACTCCAGCTTCTGCCCATATTCAGCCAATGCCACTGTCTACGCCCTGGTGAAGGACAGGAGGTAAGAGGTTCGGAAAAGTAAAGACACGTGGGTGGAGGAGGATGTTGGGGTCTTGGTTTGTGGAGAAAAAGGAACCAACCACGTGGTGCTGGTGAGTGGGGGAGCCTGAATGGATCAGGTAAAGCCACTGAATGACCCACTTCAGCATCCGAGCTGGAACGACTCTCCCGGAGCTAAAAAAGGTGCTTTTGGGGTGCAGAGTTCTGTTTCCCAGGACGGGCCCGACTGGCTTCGCTGGGATGGGAGGTCCCATTAACGGACACCTCCTACTGACGGGGCAATCACTGACCTCTCCCCTCACATCGTGCTCTTGGCTTGGAGGAATTGGTTAAATATTGGTGAGAAAACCTCAAACTCTTCTAAAATATGGAAAATAATGATTCCGGTGTTCCTCTGCTTGATGGGGCTGGGTAAGACGAGTGCAAATCCCTCCAGCTGTAAAAGGGAGGTGACGAGAGCCTCTGAGGGAGCATTAGGACAAATGAATCTTTTACCTTTTATGAGATACTGCTATTTTTATCCCATTTATAGCCTACAGAAAAACTTCCCAGTGCTGGAGGGACTGGTCCTTCCAACTAAGCACAATTTTTATGTTCTGGACAGAGGGAGGGAAATCGTGATGAGAGACTCCATCAAGGAGTGAAGTGCTGGGTAAAGAGCACCTTTAGGGCTTTGTGTTCTTGCCTCTGTTATATTTATACTTTGCATTTTAATTGTGAAGCTTTAAAAGCTCCTTGTAGGCTTTGAGGGAAACGTGGGAGGGGGGAGGAGGAGTGGTTTTACCTGATTGTGTGACCCAAAGCTGGTCCCAGGGGACTCCAGTCCCGGTGGGGGGATCCCGGTGCTGCTGAAGGGTGGACGCTGAGTAATTGGACAAACACTGTAACTCTTTTATTAAACAAAACCAGAAAAAAGGCCTTGACGATGTAAACAAAATAAAGTCTCTGTCCCTGGGAAGCGCGGCCGCGCTGCTGCTCACGCCGTGCTCGGTGGGAGCCCCTTCTTCAGCAGGGCTGTGAGGTAACTGCCCAGCTCCTCGTCCTGCAGGGAACACAGAGAAGCGGGATGAAAGCAGCTTGACTCAACTTTCCTATTTGAGGCAACAAATTCAACGCTGGTACCTAGAAACAGACTGAAACCACCCTCGGGCCCATCAGCATCTGATGTTGGCAGCGCTCAGAAATGGAAACCAGCCCAGTTTGCACAGATGTGTTTCTGGGTGTTCTCTCAAAACAGCAGCGTAGGGCTGTCTGTCAAAGCAGGTCTCTGGACCCAAGGTCTCTCTTTTGAGGAGAATGACCATTTTTATTGAAAGCAAAGAATGCAGAACCATGGATTATTTATTTTTTTTTTTGCTTTGCCCTCAAGGAGGCATTTTTATTGAAAGCAAAGAATGCAGAACCATTGATTATTTTTTTTTTTTTGCTTTGCCTTCAAGGAGGTGTTTCCTTGTTGTAAAGAAAGCTTTTTAAGCCCTAGAAACTAGACTTTTGTAAGGAAGAAAACAGAGTGATTTTGTCCAGGGCAGTGTTGGGCTGTAAGGAGCCAAGATCAGAGTTGTGTGAAAAGTGCATCTTCAAGGATTCCTACCTGGTAGGTCCAGGACACGAGCAGGACTTTGGTTCCTTGGTCCTCTGAGTGCGCCGTGGCTTGGATGAGGATGGACTCCACCGTGATGGACCCGTCGGGGAGATGCTGCACGGAATAATCCTTCAGGACCCTGGTAGGAGAGAAGCCAGAGGAGTTATTTTGGATGGAGGTGGGTACAAGCTGAAGGGAGGGTCACCCCCTCACCCCCTCTCTGACTCCCCGACACCAGGATGGTGGTCCTGCTTTGAGCTGTCTCTCTGGACCAGCCCCCACCACCCAAGGGAAGAAGAATCAGGCCAATTCATTGATTATTTTGTTACTTTTACTAATCAAGTAGGATTTCCCACAGGATTTATTTCTGGCTTTCACAACAGCTGTAGCTCCGGCCTGAACTCTCTTTGTCTCCACAAAATGCCATCTCAGAACAGCCCAGATACCTGGGGGAAGAGCTTTTAAGCTTCATCTAAGAATGATAAGCTCAAGTCTGTTCCTTGGAGGGTGAAAAAAAAAGGGACCACTTGCCCTTTGAGGTGGTTGTAGACACGGAGCACCGTCTCGTGTTCCTTCCGTGGGTCCTGGATGTGGACGCGGCAGGTGAAACGCAGCTGGTGCTCTGCCAGGCCCAGCTCCTTCAGAGCCTGCTCCGGAGAAACCAGGCGGAAGCTCTGCAGAGGAGAGAGACAGATCCATCACAAGCTCCTCCTTGCTCTCTCTGAAGTTCCATTGCCCCTGCGTGGTTGGCTGCTCACAGGTACGTGTCCATCACTAGAACTTTGTTACTTACATTGTCCTTCATAATTAACGTCCCGTGCATTAGCTTGGGCTTCTTGGCATCTGGTAAGAGACCTAAACCCAGACCAGGGGAAGAGACAGATGACGTGGTTAATGATGATGCACTTTACTTTTCACATGACTCCTAAAGGACTTAATAGATTTGATTTCCGAGTCCCTGCTGAAGGGCAGAGACTAAGATTTTCCATCTTTGTTGTGTCTGTTAAAGCACCTGGTGCTTAAAAAATCATCAGTGCTCCAGACACATAAGAAACCAAGCCCAGTGATACCCACCGGGTGCTTCCCTTCCCACATCCTGATTTGAGAGCTTTTAGATTTTTCTTAAATTGGGTTTATAAAAGTAATTCCAGTTTTGACAGCCCTATCTAGCAAAAGCAGACACGGACTTTGTTTTCACAGCGAACAGGCAATAAGCAGCAAAGAAAGTAGAGTGGGGGAGTTTGGTTTTAAACACTGCTGAGTGTACACTGAGAGCACAGCAGCCACTCAGTTCACAGGAAGCCCTTTGAACCACTAAATGCTCATAAAAACCTGTTCTCTTAGAGCAGCGCTTCCTGTAAGTCACCATTTCTACAAACCGCCCTTCACCGCTGTTTCCACCCAAGACAAGCCCCAGACAACGGAGTTGTCCAAAAAGATTAAATTCTTGGTTGCAACTGTGTCACCTATTGCTGTTTCTCTCTTCAGGAGTCCCAGGGATATGTCCACGGGGATGCTGGGGTTGGTGAATATCGTCGTGGTCTCTCCGTTCGCCGGCATGTAACAGTTGACATCTGGAAGGCAAACCTTCACCATCACCAGCACCTCCCTCCCAGACCCACCTTCTCCACTCCTCCTTTAAGAGCAGCTGTTTCTAAGGAATTAATTAATATTTATTTTCTGGAGCCTATTCCCTGTTAGCAAGAGAAGCTGCTAACCCACAGGGGCCAGTGTGCCCTGCCTGCCTCGGCCGCTTTTAGGAGTGCAAGAAATAAATTCAATAAGTGCTGAACTAGAACAATACAAATGTAACAAAACACCTTTTGCTTCAGGTCCAAATGGGCATTAAAATTAAAATTAAATGGGCTTAACATGTTAAGAATGTTACAGTCCCAGGGTGACTGCTGAACTGTAAATGACAGCCAGTGGATTAAATATGTGAATTTTAACTCCTGCCTTCTACGGCCATTCCCTCCTCACCATCGGCACGATACGTACGAAATTCCTGCTCTATTTTCTGCTTCAGAAACTCCATTTTCTTGGCTTCCCCATGGACCAGCAGGACGTTCCGGGGCTCAGCCTGGCGGATGAGCTGCATTATGCCCTTGGCGTCGGCGTGGGCACTGAAGGACATGTACTCCACCTGCATCTTCACCTCCAGCTGCGGGGAGCACAGACTCAGGAACTGCTCTGCCTCACCACAGCTGCTGTGCCACACACCCTCACTCCTCTCAATTGAGGTTAAAGGAGGAAACACCCCCCAAATTGGAAAATGAGGTTGGAGACAGCGCTGCTGAGCAGCAGAGACTGAACATGATGCTGCACAGAAAAGCTTTCCATAACTTACAGGATCAAACTGCCCATTTGCCACAAGCCAATACTTAAGGACAGTTGGTATCAATTTTAATATCCCCGTCTGCCTAAAAATGTATCATTTTTATTTATGTAACTAATGGTGCTTAGTTATTAAACATTAAGTCTTACAGCAAAAAAAATACACTCTGTTGCCAACACAAAGGGGAGAAATCCTCTAATCCAACCCCAAAGAAAATGTCACTTGGGTGTTTCCAGTGTTGGAGGTGGTGCATTCCCATTGCAAGTACATAGTCTCCAATTACCACCTAAACTTTGAAGAACTTCCCCCAAAAGGTTCTCCCTCTTGAAAATAAAACTTACTATTTGTCTTCCTTCCATCTCCAGCTTGCGCTGCCCGCTCAGGATCTTGTGGCCCACAGTTCCCTGCACGCAGTAGCCCGGCATGATGACCTGAGAAGGAAACCAGAAAAATGTCCAAATCCTGCCCCTGGACTGTGCACAGCACGGCTGCTGTTAATGTACTATGTCATAACAACAGCCACTAATGATAGAAACGTGTGTTCTGCCCCAATTACGTGCTCCCATCCTGCCCTGGGAAGCTGCAGTTTGGGAACACCCAACTCCAGAACACACAGGAGAAAATGAAATTAGAAAGCAAACTGCTCAAATCTACACTAATGCTAGTTACACATGTCTAGGAGACAAATGGCTCAGGAGACACAGTTTCTTACCATGTTCTTCTCATTCCCTGCCCATTTCCTGAAGATCTGAAGGGACTGTCCTGCATGGAGCATGCCGGGGGTTGCAAACACCACCTGGAAGGCAAAGATGTATCAAGAATCACCACAGAAAACATTTTTCCCGTTAGTTATAATATATAAATATCCTAAAACTGAGTGAGCATCCACTAATACGCATCACAGCACACTTACCCCACCAAAGTTCCAATTTTCCTATTCCATTTTTCCCACCTTGTCTAATAAGTAAATTGTACTGTTCAAGGAGGTTTCTGTGAGCATCCACAGCATCTGATGAAAATGTTGAATGATTTTATAATGCTGTTGTCACGCTCGACAGATTCCTCTTTCAGCTAGTGCCTAATTAACCAGTCAGAAATAAAACTTTGTGTCACAAAGGATCTGTCTCCTGACTTAAGTCCCAAGAATATATTGTCACAATTATGGTTTGAATCAGGTTTAGAGCTACAGATTATATGAACACGCAATCATTTTTTTGTATTTTCCCTGGGTATTTCACCTTTACTGACATAAAACCAGAAAGATCATTAATAGTTGCCCAGATAAAAGCATTCAGAGGGTGAGGAGGGTTTTGGGGTTGGGATGCTGGCACTGATGGGGGAACAGAGTGGTACCACACACCTACCATAGGCCCTGGATTGTCTGCAAAGGCCCGATCGAAGGCTTTGATGTGTTTGAATTCAAACATGTTCCTCTGCACAAACGTTTTCCGAATCTTCTGGTTAGTCCAGGTGATGAAGAGCTTGTAGTAGTGGTTGGCCTTCTCCGTCAGTCCCGTGGAAAAATAAATTGGAGCCTTCAAGTTCATCCTCTCCCTGTAGAAAGAAGCATTTCCAGAAACTCATGAAGGCCCAATCGGGATCCTGGGGATCCGTGTTTAAGGTCCATAAACCTGTGGAGTCTCCCAAGATTCTTGGGAGAATCCCAAGTTCACACCCAACTCCCAGTGAGCTAGAAATCACTATTCTGACAGATCTACATCCCTGTGCATTAACTTACCACCAACAGGCGTTAGGCCAATCCTCCTTCCCCCTACTAAGGCCAACTTCCTGCCGTTACAAGTATGATTAACTTACCACCAACAGGCGTTAGGCCAACCCTCCTTCCCACCCACTAAGGCCAACTTCCTGCCATTACAAGTATTAATTATTCTTCTACAGAGAATAACTAAAAGCAGGAGCATTTGGTCTTTTCAAAACCATTTCCACACAATGCTTAAATGTCATTTTAATGCCCGTTCATCCCTCCTCCCCCTCCCGTGCAAACAGTTTGACAACATGGCAAAGATGCAATCCAATTTTTTAAAGGACAGTTGATCCTGGGCGGAGCAGAAAACGGTGAGTGTCTTGTGTAGGGCCAGGAACGCTGGGAAATACACGGAAAGAAGGAATTCCCCAACTGCCAGCACGGGCTGATGCGCAGGGGAATATCAATGAGGCATTTGTACTAAACAGAGATGAAGGAATCAGAAACCACAGCTCAAGGAGGACATGCACAGAAAAGACTGCACTCACCAGAAAGTTTCCAATAAAATGCAAAGTTCCTGGGCACGACCAAGGGCAAAAACTGGGATGAGAACCTGCAAGTGAAATGGAATTTACAGTCTGTGACCCTGCAGCAATATCATTTCTGAACAAGCCCCTCAGTTTCCTCTCCCTTTCTCAAATTCTTTTGCTGATCTTTCTTTCCACAAGAACCTGTTCTGCAGTTTTGGCACAAAACGAAAGGCACCAATATTTGGTCATAGACAGGTGCCAGAGTTCATTATTAATTACACAGCTCTACAGAGCCAATGAGAGTTTTACAGACAAAAAACCACATCACTCAGGTTATCAAAACACTGTACCTTCCCTCCTCTTTCTACAGTCTCGTGAACTTTCTTCAGGAAATCTCTTTCTCTGCAGCGTTTGGAATCTCTGATAGTTGTGGCGTAGGTGGACTCCGTGATCAATAAATCTGGGCGACACTTGTCAATCCAGGCAGCGCTAAAACACAAGGAATTTTAAAAAACCCAATCAAATTAAGAGATGGTACCTGGCACTTCTGATCTGTGGGTCTCAAAGGTGGGTGGAGAATGTCCCTGTCCCCATCTGCAGACAGGAGAACAGGCACACAGAGGAGCCCTGTGGCAGTGTCAGGACTCCTCTCCTCTCCCTGCTTTATTTAAATTAATCCAGCCCAGAACACAAACTGCAGATCTTGAGAAACAATTCTTCTCCAGTCTACTACTTGTTTTAAATGCCTTAAAATACTATTCTAACTAGCATGAATATTGTAAATCTCTCATAGATGCCAGTAAAAATAAAATCATAGAATGGTTTGGATTGGAAAGGACCTTAAAGCCCATCCAGTGCCACCCCCTGCCCTGGGCAGGGACACCTCCCACCAGACCAGGTTGCTCCAAGCCCCATCCAACCTGGCCTTGAACCCCTCCAGGGATGGGGCAGCCACAGCTTCTCTGGGCAACCTGGGCCAGGCTCTCACCACCCTCACAGTGAAGAATTTCTTCCCCAGATCTCATCTCAATCTCCCTTCTTTCAGTTTAAAACGAATGTTAAAGTTTGTGACTGGCACTGTCTTGGAAAGTAAATACATTTAGAAGATGCCATGACAATAAATCATTTCAAACATCTAAGTCCAATTATTACGTAGCCTTAAAAACAGATTAATATGAGTATACAGAAGAAGATAACATTAAAGGTCTCTTTGGAAGAATCAATGTAAATCTATTCATTCTCATAATTCAAAATGCATTTACCTTTCCAGCAAAGACATCATTACATATTCCAGTCTCCTAACAAAGAATCAATGCTGATAAGCCCCCAGTATTAACACACGCTGTCAGAAATCTATACAACTCATAGAGACCCAGCTTCCCACTTACCCTAAATGTCTGTCCGGTGTCATGTTATAATCACCCTGAGGGAAGAAGAGAAACCCATTAACATTCTCAAGGTGGTGGAACAGGCCATTAGAAGATGTGGAGTATTAACAGATGCTGTCAGAAATCTATACAACTCACAGAGACTCAGCTTCCCACTTACCCTAAATGTCTGTCCGGTGTCATGTTATAATCACCCTGAGGGAAGAAGAGAAACCCATTAACATTCTCAAGGTGGTGGAACAGGCCATTAGATGATGTGGTCCCTTAAACACATCCAGGGACAGTGACTCAACCACCTCCCAAGGTATCTCCAAAGGCTGGTTTGGGTACTCACTGTGTACACAACGGACTCGCATCCAACCTTAATCTGGAACATGGCTGCCCCCAGCACGTGGCCTGCGTAGTACGCCTTGATCTCCAGCTCCTCGTCCACCTGCACCAAGAGGCACACACTGCACTAACACACACCTTTCCACCAACCCTCTCTGCTCCACCTTCCACACCAACCCGGCTGCTCTGACCCCAGGGGGGCAGAAACCAGGGGTTACCTGAACCGTCTGGTGAAGATGCACGGCGACCACTTTTTTCATACAGTCTTTGATCATTTGGGAAGTGAAGAAATTCGTTTCCCCTTTCTTATCGACAGTTATTTTCCTGTAGTCCTCCAGGAGGATGGGACAGATGGCCTTGGTGGGGTGAGTCATGTAGATGGGCCCGTCATAACCCACCATTTCACTGAAATAGGGCAAAGCTCCACAATGGTCCAAATGGAAGTGGCTGCAAAAAGACACAACGGCTCAAGGAGATGCTGTTTGCCTGGTTCAGATCTTGCTTCAGATTTTTAAAGCACTCCAGAACTAGCCAAAATATGGACTTGCAACATGTCTGGGCTGCTGGGGACAGCACACCAAGCCTTCCCGTTTCCCGTTTGAGCTCTGAGAAGGAAGGAAATTTCCTCACCTGATGATCACACAGTCTAGAAAGTCAGTCAGCCTTCCGTTCTGAGTGATGTAAGAGAAGTCAGGAAAGCGTCTCTGCAAAGACATGAAAGAACAGGCTGGCCATTACAAAACAAAGCCAGTTAATAACGATGTTACTAATCCAACAAAACTACGGTGTGATCGACCTGAAACACTGGAAATGTGCCTTAATGCACTTTGGAGCAAAACTGCACTAAGGCAGCACTCGTGAGGGCTTCCAGGCCAGGTTGGATGGGGCTTGGAGCAACCTGGTCTGGTGGGAGGTGTACCTGCCCACGGCAGGCGGATGAAACTCAAGGGCCTTTAAGGTCCCTTCCAACTCTAACCATTCTGTGATTCTATGTGCAGGAAGAGTCACAGAGAAGGATGAGAGGGCAGACAAACTTTTTTTTTACTGTGAAGATAAACAGTTTCTATCTTCACAGTACAACAGGTGACCAATGTGTTTTAACTTACCCAGAAGCACTTCGGCAGAGAGCATCAAAACTTTTTAACAGCACATTTGCTCTGTGTCACACTTTGTTATCTTAAAGAATATTTTTGCCATTATTCCCTTCCTACTATTACCAGGTGACCAAACAAGAGGAGTATTTCCTAGCTCTCTCTCTAAGGTGTGAGATGTGTGGTGCGGATCCCACACATAATTAATTAACTGCCCAAAGCCAAGCAGGGTGTCAAGAGCAGGCTAACTAATGATGGGATTGATGCTCTAAAGCACAGGAGACACCTGCCCATGTGAAACACAGAAAGACCAAAACCACCTGGAATGGAGCACTCCCAGCTTGCTTAATATTTTTTTGGAGGCCACAACCCAGGAAAAGGACAGCTGGATGGTGGCACTTCACAGATCAGGAATACTTCAGGGGACAAACCTCTTGCAGAGGAAGGCAAGATTTTGAAGAGGCAGTAAGAGCTCATTCTCAATCCAGCTCCAGCAGTGGCTGATACACGTACCCAATAATGACACCTGGCTAATATGACTCCTGTGTTGTGTAAGATAAGTCAGGTCACATTCAAATAAAAGGGAACGGAGTGGATCTTTGAACCAGGAGCCCTGCTGGGAAAGGCCAAGCATCCCCCCACAATGTTCAGGCTTCCCCACCACACTCACATCATCGTTGTAGCCCATGTGCATCCCGCAGTCAAGCATCACGTTCTTCCCGGCGATGGACACAAGGATACAGCTGCGCCCCACGTCCTGGCCAGCTCCTGGGCCCAAGCAAAGACAAGACAAGTGAGACACCTCTGGGAATACTCACACTCACGTCCAAAAAGAAGCATTTAAAGGTATGTATGAACTTTCTAGCCCTTCCTAGGAAGTAAATCCAAACTGACTTACCCCATTCCCTGAGCTTATGGGGGGCCCTTCCAGCTGCAAAACCACAGTAAATACAGCACCAAACCCATAAGTGGTTCAGGTCATGTTTGTTCTCTGCCCACTGCTGGGCAATCCCAGCCACACAGTTTCCAATAAGAGAGAAATAATCTCTTATCAGGAAAGGATTTCCATGGAACTCGGAGTTGCCAGGGCTCTGCACCTCCCCAAGCACTCTGCCTCTCAGTGAAAGCACAGACCTTCGTTAAGTTCTAGTTAAGTCAATTCCAAGCCAGAAAACTATCCAGCAGGATAAAGCAGTTCTCCTGCTCGGCACATCCTCTGCCCTCTCTGTATATAAATGCATCTCAACAGTTTCCGTCCAACCCATTAAAAAAATAAAAGCTTGCTTCTTGCGGAGCTCTAGCACTATGAAGTGAACTAAGGCTCTGTCTATACCGTACAATACTACAATGCCTTTACCAGTAAGCATTAATGAATCCTGTAATCAAAACAGAGTTGTCAGACTGTCCAAGCCTTACTTGTTTGAAAGCCAAGGGGAGGACACAGTGACAAGCAGCGGGTCAGGACACTGTATAGCTGTCACATACATCACTGTGTATCACCACGAGCAGTTTTCATGGCATGGAAAGGCAGGCATGTCTCCAGCAGTGCAACATATATCACTTTGAAGTCTAAACTACAAAGTTTTTCAGTGTTTTCTACTCCAGGACAATTTTAGATTGGACTTACCCAAGGGAGTGACTTTTATTTCAGGCATTTTGACAAATTCTAAGTCTCAAACCGCACGGCAAATGATTTCAGAAACAGTCTAACGGGGGCCTCAAAACGAAGAGAAGCTTTAGCTGGTTTTACAGCAGCAACTTCAGTTACTTTTCAGCATCGGGCAGAAGACTTAAGCAGAGGCCCAACTTCTTCCTAGAGGGAAGGCAGGGAGAAAACACCCGTCAGACCCAGGCGGGGGTGATTTACAGCTGGCAACTCGGGTTTCCATAACACCCATCACCGCTGCGGCCCCGCAGCCCTGACGGGGAGAGGGGAGGCCTCCCGCCGTGTGGTGTTTATTCACGGCGCGCACGGATCTCCCACCGCAACCCCGCCGCCCTCCTGAGGTGAAACCCGCCTGAGGTAAAACCCGCCTGAGGCACAGCCGGGGCCGGCCCCGCTGCTCCCCACGGCCCACAGGGAGGACACCCCACACAGACCCCCACAGAGGAGCCCCCCGGACCGGCGGGGACCCCCCCAAAACCTC